AATTGACAACATTAGAGCGACAACGAAATAGATTTACACAATGAGTGGCCCTTCCGATGAGATCACCTATTATGGTGGCATTGACAATTAACTCTAATGAATAATATTTTATAATTGTTAGATTTTAATGAGACAAACATTGATAATGAGAGTAGAGTTAAGACAAAGAAGTTCGATAACAACGAAAAATGAATACATAAAATATTTTTTTTAATTTTTAAATTTGAAATTATAAGAAAAATAATAAATTTAATTAAAATAATATAATATATATATATATATATATATATATATATATAAAAGAAAGAATTTGAATAAAAGATAAATGGCCACAATAAAATTTTATAATCAAGAAATATGTGTATGTCAAAAAATTATACTTTTTTATCTGAAAAAATTATCAAATAAGAATGAACAATATTATTTTATATTTTATATCTTTTCAAAAAATTTTCTAAACGTAAATAAATAGTAATAATAATAATATTTAAATTCAACAGATTATAATTGTGCTTATAATGCATATGTTGCATAAAAAAATATTATTTTAAATTGAAATATAAAAAATAAAATTTAAATATTATCAATAAATAATAAGCGTATAGTAATATTAGATAATTATAAAATTTATGAAATATTTATAATATTTTTATTATTTATCATTCACTTTATGATTTAAATATCAATATAATTTTATTAATAAAAATATTTGTGTGAAAAATATTTTATATATGTGTCATATGTAAATAATATTTTTTTAAAAAATCAATCTCATATCAACTATGTAATAATTAAATTGTATTAGTATAATTAAATGATATAAATTAGTAAATAAATTTTTTATTAAAAATATAAATTAAAATAAATTATTTGGCTTACTTTATTATTAAATATGTTTTTATATTAATTTTATATAACTTCACATAAGTAGTATAATACAAAAAATGAATACATAATTATAGAACAAAGTTCAAGCTATATATATATATAGATGCGGGTATGGGGTGGGGTGGGTACTTAAAGACTCATACACGAATTCATCCTCATTAAAATTTACAGGTATTTTTACCCATATCCATACTCATATTCATATAGTGAGTAAATATCCTATCTATTATAAATAAATTTTGCGGGTGTTCATTAAGTATTCTATTTGTCGTCATCCCTACTTAAACTCTGTGAAAACCATGATAACTGCATATCATTACCGTTGTTCTGCGTGCATGATTGCATGATAATGACTTTAGAAACATTTTACAATAGTCCGTGAAGCTCAAATATAAGTTTTTAAAACAGCTAATTTGATGTTATAAATATTTGAATAATCAAATTGGACGTCACTTTCAGAACGAGTTTTTAATTTAAAAGAAAAAGTAGTTATTGATGAAAAATTCAACTGTTGATATACATTACCTAATATGTATAATAAATTATGAATTGATTTATCAAAATTTATCTTCAATTTGTTAAATAACGGTTGAGATGTTTTATCTTTAAAGTGAATTGCTCATTTAAAGAAGATAAATCTAAACTAATTAACGTTAATCAATATTTGTATTCTTTTTTGTCCTAATGTTAATTGTATTTTAGGGGTCGACAAAATAGTAGTTTAGTAAAAGGTCAATTTCCTAGCTTTATCGTTGTAGGCGTCAACCAAAGGTTTCTGGAGCAACCTTTTATAAATCAAACACTTAGAAATGAGGCAAGCAACTACATATCCTATGCATTCCAAAAATGCAAAGACGGCATGCATTTACGCCAAATAGACATCGCATATGATATGGAGAAAGCACAAAAGCTTTTCGTGGCATATATGCATTGATATGATATAATACAAAGGCGTTATCAAAAGGTGTCCTAAAGTGTCTTTTGTCGTTATTGCTTTCTTAGTCAATCTTTTCAGCAGGGTGAACAAGACAATCAAAGGTGAATAATATGTTTAGTCAGCTTGGAGATTATTCATAAATTAATGAGAGGAAGAACCTGCAAAAGTTGCAAAATCCATAAAGTACCATAACATTCCACTGTGTTTTGTAGCAACAAGTTGAAATTCATATATAGAGTAAAAGGAAGACCCAAAAGAGACATAAGACAAGGGTTGCTTGGATGGTAGTTACATTCTTACACAACATTCCAGTAGGACTCTTGTAATGTAACTCCTCAAGATCTTCCCCTTTTATTGCTTCCAAGAATTGGGGTGTGTATATAAGTTTCCCTTCTTAACAACTTCTTACTCTCACCTACTTTGATATTTCCCTACATACAAGTATTTGAGCTGGCTACTTGTTTTTCTTTTCTATTTTTTAAGGATCATGCCTGGTTCAATGAAGTCAATACAATTTGTTACCCTCCTAATTGTTCTGACATTACTTGTAGTGAGTTCAGAGGCAAGATTTTTCCCTGAATTCTCAACAACGGAAAAAAGGGTGGATAGTAAACTTGGTATACATGAGTTAATCAACAATGTAGGGAATATCAAGTGGCATCAAAAGAGGTCAATGCTAGGTGGAAAGTTCGAGAGAGTGTCACCTGAAGGGCCAGATCCTCAGCATCACTAGCGTCAAATTGAAAGACATATTGCTGTTTTACTACCAGATGATCAATATCCTAACAAAATCAGTAAAACAATGTGTTGCTCCTTTTGTAATGAATAAGTTAAACTCGTTTTGACATGCTCTGCTTTTGAGTTGCTCTAAGGATATGTCTAAAAGAAGTAAGAATCTCATGGTCAATCTTGTACTCTATTTTCATGTCTAAAACCACATTTCTGGTTTTGATGCTTAGAAATCTGAATAAATTACTGTTATTGGGGTTTAGCTTATATGATTATATTAAACCGTATGCATTTTAATTTCCTTACTAAAACTTTCTTATTTTTCTCTTCCTCATTCTTAATAATATTGAAATCGGACTTTTCACTAACAAAATGAAGTATACAAATAAAACTGACATTATAGTGTCAATGATTGAGAAGTGTTAACACTTACCCATTCTGGCATAGTCATCTCTATTGACTAAAAATGGAGAGGAATGGTCTGATGCAGTTTGCTTATAATTAAGTTGTTCTCATTTTCACCCTGCACCATTTTCATCACTACAAGATACATTCTGATTGTTAATTATATTATCAGTGAATATATTGATCAAAATTATTTTTTGATGCAATGATTAGACCTTAATATAGTTTAATTTCTATTCCCTTATCATGATATGTTTTATCCTTCTGCTATCTAATAATAGTGTTTGCCAGATATCAATCTTGGGATGCACATTTACTTGTGATGACCTAATAAGTTAGTCAACCAGCACAGCACTAGCATGAATAAAATGTAGAAAGTAATAAACAAGAACTCAGATTGTTAGAATTGACTCTTTCTTCATATTTTTGAAAGTCAAATCAATTCGATATGCTATTTTTATACTTTCTGGTTTGGAACTTGTTTAGTCATGTTGAACGGAAAAAATTGAGTGATAACTCGTGTTTTAAGAAGTGGGTCTACAGAATCAATGATACCCATTCTACTTTACTTGAAATGTTGTATTTGTTTTCTTATAAGAGGACTATTTATGTATGCAGCAAAAAGCTGAATGTGAATGACAATCCATATCCACCACTCAAAAGTTGTGTGGTATCAATAGCTTCATGAGTTTGAGGGAAAAAAACCAACATGAAAACCAATTCACAAAAAAATACACGTCAGAATGGCATCCAGCAGCAGCTTCTTGTCTCCACCTCCAGAATTTACAAGAGAAAACTATTATTTGTGGTCTGCAAAAATGAAAACTTATTTGAGGGCTCAAAATTGTGAGATATGGTGCAATAAGGTTAGTTGCTTAAGCTTTGAATCTTATTCTAACTAGTTAGATAGAGTGAAAATTTTAAAATAATACTTGATTAAATTTTTAAATCTGCATGGCATAAAACTACAATTTTATTGTATAATATAAAATTCAAACTATAATCTTTGAATGTAATAAATTACTTTTCCATGAAAGACCACATCACCTTGCATGACACCAACCTAAGTTATTATATCCACTTAATTTCCTAAAACTATAATCAAAACACATCAAATCTTATATTTTCTTCACGGTACAATCTAAATTTATATCAAATCAAGTGTGAAAAATAATTTTAAGCAAAAAGTCATAAAAAATGAACCCATGACAAGAAATTTATGAAATTTAGACAAAATAAGAGGCTCGAATATCTTGTATTAAAAATTAAGTATTTGATTAAGCATAATATTTCAACATACACAAATTTTTATACTTACGGATTATTAGTTCAATAAAATATCCCTTGAAAAAATGATTATAGTTTAAAAAAAATATATTAACAAAAAGGCACGTATTATTCTTTAGGTAGTCTTTAAATGTTATTTTAACAAAATATTTTTATTTAATGTTGTTATCTTTGGTTAATAAAATAAAACTCAAATTATGAATGGTAAAAAATACTTAAGAACTTCACTTAAGTTTTGTTTAAAAAAAAAAAAAAGAATACACAATCATAAGCTTGCAATCAAAAGCTGTGACTTTTCGTGAACTTAGGTGTACTAATACACCTCAGATAAATTATTATAGCAAGTGTCTCCAGTTGCATATTTATAATTATATTTTAGTTCTTCAATTAATTTTGTTTTTTCGTAAAACTGGATGATAGTCTTTTTCGTTCTTGAAATCCTCTATTTGTGTTAGGTGATTTTTGTCCTTTTATCAAGGGTCCTGCACGGTGATTGACGACGTCCTGAACCTCGCATTTGGTCCAAACGAGAAGTATAACACATGTAAGTCTAATTTATCTAACTTAAAAAATTTCTTTAGCCTCACTATTGCCTCATTTTAGAAGATAAACTAAAATCGTGTGAAGAAAAATTTTAGCCTCATCCCATTTCTTCTTCCAAAATGTTAAACCAAACATGAAATATAATATAAAACTCCCTCAACCTTTCGTAAGGTTAACAAAAAACCAGGGTAACCAGCGAGGAAAAAAGGTTAAACAGCCAGCAATTGCATTAAGTGAAACCATAGAATTAAAAGGGAGCATTATTAAAACTGGTTTGAAGATCAATGAATCCTTTGGGCAACAAACTGCTCAACAGACGAATTATTATTAAATGATGGCGTATACCTAATCTAATAATTAAAACAACAAAGCCGCCACCACTGCCGAAAAACAATACAATAATGGTTCTGAGATTGCAAAATTTGATTTGGTTCTTAATGGGAATGGAATACCCACTAACATGTATCTGTGACGTATTTGTTCAATTACTGGTTGGCAAATTTGATACCCTTCTCAATAGAGGATTTCAGTTCAGCCTTGAGGCTTTCAAGGCCTTGTTTCTCAAAATCTGAGAGAGGCCCCAAGCCCAAAACTTCCTCCACACCATTCTTCCCAAGCCTCACCTGCATAACATTTCACCATTAAGTCAATACCAAGTATAGATCAACATCAATCACCACATAAACAAGGGTTCAACCATAAAGGCCTATGCATGGATAAATGAAGAGAGAGCAAAACGTGAGCATTGTGAGGTGAGAGCGGTGAAATTAGAAACACAAGATGAAACTTTTCCAGTTCAATGACCTTGGAAGCAAAGAAGGGAAGTTCAGTCACAGTGGATTGCACAAATGAGCACTCAACAACATCTGGGACGCCATTGAGGCCCTTGAGGCAAGCATCAGCAAAAAGGGCTCCAGCATAACTGCAACAAACATGAGAATGTATGATTCAATTTTACATCAAATAATTTGCAGAACTTCATCAATGAACCACTATACTTCATTAGGATAAATAACTTGTCATCAAACAAATTATGTCTATCGAGAATAACATATTCAATTAATCCCAGACTTACGCCATTGACAAAGTTGCAGAGCCCTTTCCAGCCTTGGCTTCAACAACTTCTGTTCCTCCATCTTGCGTCCTCTTTGTAAGAGCCTTAATTTCATCATCACCCAGATTGGCTTTTGGAATGGCCTATATAAGTGAACAGTTAAGAAACATAGTACATACATATCAAACCAAGCTACCAAACTACACATCAAAGGGTGTAAAATGTTGAGTTAAAGAGCAGAAAGGTACTTGAGAAAATAAGGGCAGAATAGTAATGCCTGCATGGCCACCTACAACAGGTACATTGACCTCTGCAGAAACATGCACAATTCCAAATCAAATGTTATGTAACACTGGAAACAAATAGAAGAAATGCAGAATCATGAATCATTTTCAACCCTTCCCAAGTCACCAAAAAATTTTCCTCACACTTAAGGGGGTAAAAAAGTTAAGAATTTGATTTTTGAAATTGGTTGGACTTTCATTGCATTCACTTGACACTTAAATCTGACCCCCAAACACACATCCCCATTTGTTCCATCTTTATGTCACAAAATAAACAACAGTTACACACCAAGCAAGACTAGAGTAATTGTAAGTTTGTCAAACTTCACATACCAGCGACTGGAACTTTGGCTTTCCCAGCATAGAAAGTTTTGGCCCTAACAACATCAAGGGTGGTAACACCAAACAATCTCTTCTCATCATATGTCCCAGCCTTCTTGAAAACCTCAGAAGCAATAGGAACAGTAGAGTTCACAGGATTGCTTATCATGTTAACAAGAGCCTGATTCCACAGATAAAAGTATTCAGTATCAAATATAAATCATAGAATCATAGAAAAGCTCACCACACAATATATGGACCAGGACATGAACACAGTTACATGTTCAGATTTGTTAAACACTCTTTGGTTTCCAGATTTCCAACTTACAACAACAACAATAAAGCCTTTATCCCACTTGGTAAGATCAGCTGGCTACATGGATCATACGATCCCACCCACATTTCCATCTTATTAACCTCACATCCTATACTTTCGAACCATCAAACCACACTCTTAAAAATCCAAACAATCCTGTATTATTTTGATTTATACAATCTAAACAATCAGACTTGAAAATGTGTTCAGAGTAGCTAAAAGAAAATGAATTGATCACCCAAAACTAATAACAATGAAATTCTCATTTCATCCATGGCCAAGAACCATGACTGCATCAAGCAACTCAAGGAAACAGACACTCACATGGGGACAATACTTAGCGATAGCAGTACACAGTGTCTTGACAATGCCAGCATTAATATTAAAAAGATCATCACGAGTCATTCCAGGCTTTCTGGGCACACCAGCAGGAATTATAACAACATCTGCACCCTCCAAAGCTTTTCCAAGCTGTTCTTCACCTTGATATCCAACTACCTGCAATCCCATTAAACCAAGAGCAGTTCAATCAATCGAACAACAACTTTAAAATACAGTAAAACTTGCACATCACTGCCAAAGAATAATTTAGTTACCCTCAGCAGAAGAGTTCATTAACATCAAACTAACAATAAAGCTTGCATCGTTGCAAAAAAACAAAAAAACTAACAAAAAACTAGATTAATGCATCTCACACAGAAAACAGTTCAATTCATTGTGCTACGTTAAACTACAGTAAAAATTAACTAAATTCACTGTGCATCATCACACGACAGTAAACACTGCATCATTTCAAACACCCCACCCCAAAAAAAAAGGTAGATTGGGACACCTCAGCAAAACAGATCAATAATCTATATCACCAAAACATTAAACTATAATAAAGTCATTACCTTGGCAAATAAAACACTTCGGAAAAAACTAGATCACTATATGCCACAGAAAAGAAACAGAGATCCTCAACGGTTGTAAAAAGCCGGCACACAAAAAAGACATTTCATTACATGATAAAAGAAAAAATTATAAACAAAAATTTAGTAAAAACACACGGCGTCCCCTCTGTAAACAAACAAAACCCCGATCTCTCACAAAAATGGTATAAAAATACAGTAAACCTAATACATTCATAAAACCCCAAACAAAAATGGTAGATTAGTTTACATCAAACAACAAAGTTTCAATTTTTACAAGACGATACTTGAAAAAAAATACACATTTGAAGAAAAAAAAAATTTGGGGTTAAGGGGGTGGAAAAGGGGTACCTCAGATCTGGTGTTGATGTGGCTAACATCAGCAGCGACACCGGGGGTGCCGGCGATATCGTAAAGGGAGAGGCTTGAAACGAGGGGGTTGAGCTTCATTAGGAGGGAGAGGGGTTGGCCGATCCCGCCGGCGGCGCCGAGAACAGCGACTTTGCGCTCCGGCACTGGCTCAGTGGCGTAGCCGCGGCGAGAGAGGTGAGAGGAGCCGCGGCTAACTGCTGAGTGCAGGGATCTGAGCATCGATGGCTTCATCATTTTTGGTTTCTTTTTTTTTTTGGAAGTCTGAGAACTTTCGAGAATTACGAGAGAGAAAGGGAATAATGAAAGGCTTTGGCGGAGTGAGCAGCGTCACAATTTATGCTGAGACTGTAGATCAGTGAGTGAACCCACACCACCAACACCAACATGGCTCCACCCGAAAATTATTTAAATCCATAGATCTTCAAAGTAAATTTTTAATAAAGTTATTCTCTTTAATAGTTATTTTTAAAATCAAAATTGATTTATAAACTACACTTTCTTTTATTATTTTAATTTTTATTAATTTTATCATTTAAATTTTATAATATTACATACAATTTTAAATTTTTATAAATATTACATTTATAAAAAATTATTATCTTATATTTTGTGATTTAAAATTACATTAAAGTAAATTTTATAAAAAATATTTTTAAAAACAATTTTATTGTATATATAAATATATAATCATTTAAAAAATTATAAATTTTTATTTTTTAATCATTAAAATTATATTTGTTTTAAAATAAAATATCCAAGAAAAAAATTTGAAGTGAAAAAGACTCGAAGTTGTGTATAAAGTTGCCAAAAATTTATATCATGCCAACATTAGATAAGTCGAGCTTCACTGTATTTAGTAAATCTTCAAAAGTTGCACTAATTTGGTGAAGTACCTTTACTCTTATCACGTTGTCACTTTGATATACTTATCATCCCCTTTTCTCATAGAGCAAATGCATAACAAACTAAATAAATATTATTTAATCCCTCGTTGTTTAGTTTTTTTTTCTAATTATTTAATCCCTCATTGTTTACTTCAAATTAATTATTTAATAATGTTTTATTTTAAAAGCAATTATTTAATTCTCTCTAGTGTATAAAAATACTCCATACATATTTTACTATATTAATATATGAACAATGCTTCGTGCGTATCAAGAGCGTTTTAAAAAATTATTTTATATTACTGTTTTTATCAAATATAAATAATAGCATTGTATTAATATCATTACATTTTGTGAATAAATAAAAACACAATTTGGTAATTTACAAGTTATCAACTGGTTTATTTGACCAAAAATAAGTTATTATAGGCATTATGTCAGAGACTTTTTTAAAATACTACAAACTTAAAATCTCATATTTGAAAAGTTTCTTTTTTTTAAGGCCCGATTTGACAAGTTAATAGAAGTAGTTCATAGCTTATAAACAAGAAAATGCATATGTATATATTCTTTTATTTTGTTGTTATTAATTTTAAAAAACAACTTCTAACTCTTCCTTAATTAACACCCTTAATAATAATTAGTTAGATATATGTGCATACATAGTTATATTCTTAACATTTTATGAAATATATTTTGTTGAATAACAATTATTATAATAAACTCCCTTATTGTTGAAGATTCTAGTGTCTTTGTGATTCTAGGTATAACCTGGAATTGTGATTTCTTGTAATGAGTATGTATACAAATACTCAGAGTATGTGATGGTGGTAGGCCTAATTAAGTTATGTAGATTATATATAACAAAATGAATTTAGGTATTGATATAATTGATTGTCCAAGCACGTAAACCCATTAGTAGCTTCGGCCTTTTGTTTAAAATAGCAGCAGAACACCCTCTTTAAAAAATAAAGTCACTTTGAATGATTTTTATATTTATATTTTGATCAAAAGCCAGTATTACAATGCTTTCACATTAAAAGTTTAGATTTGAAATTGAAGATAGTGCTTCTTAATCTGTTCGTCACCTCCATTAGATCTCTTCCTTTTTAATAACACAAATCAATCGCCTTTGTTTAACCCATTTTCACTATCCTATGTTTAGATCAGTGGTTTCTTTTTTGTAATATATAAATAAATACAATTTTTTTTTTGAGATAACAAATAAAAAGTAACGGAGTAAAATTTCGTTAGAGATCCATTACGTGTTAATCTGTATGGACAAGAAAAGTATCACGAGCTTTCAGATTATCATTCGATGGCATTGTTGCATCACTATTCAAAGGCATCAAATCATTGCAGAACATGGTTTAGTTTTTATTCTGAAACAGAAAATAGTTGATTTCTTAATCTTGATAAGTGAAACTGAAACCAAAAAATTTACCATTGAAACTTCCTTACAAAAGAAGCATCTAATTGAATTAATCACTAAATTGAACTATGCAATATTATTAATAAAATGTAATAGACAAACTAAAACTTTCTAATTGACCCTCTAGATCACAATTCCCAGAAGCGAATGCTAACATGAAGAAAAGGAAATCACATCTAAATACCGGATCCACTTTTATCTTCCAATTGATGAGTTGGTGAAAGAAAATAATAACGAAATAAAAATTTCTGTAATTTTATTATATGGGTGATTACAATTAGAACTCAATTATTCTCACTGATTCTCTGAAAATTTACGTTTTTTAATAGGAAATGGACCTTCTTTGACAGAGATTTGACATTTGAAAATGCCTAGGTATGTTTCTTCAATCTTAAACTTTGGTCCTACCAACCGTTTGTTGCAAAGGGTGTTTTATAAAATGCTTTAAACCAAAGCAAGCTACAAAACCATGCACTGGAAAATGTCTATAACAAAAATTAGAAGACTAACATTTTTCAATTTCTTCAACCAACCCATGTCAATGCAGGTTTTCAAGTCTTTGATTGATCGCAGGATCCAATCCCTCTTCCCAATTGTGTTGTATTCAATTCTAATCTTAGGAAGTGCAAGGTTAGTCCTAGACAGTTTGAAAATCAACCATAGCTGTGTTTCCAGGCTCTATAGCAGGCCACATGGTGGAAGGAATGGATTGCCTATTGTAGTTTTGCCAAAGGATCGAATTGAGGAAGATTGCAATGTATTTGAAGGGACATGGTTGTGGGACAATATGTCATATCCCCTTTATGAAGAAGAGAGTTGCCCTTACCTGGTAAAGCAAACCACTTGCAAGAAAAATGGGAGACCTGATTCTTTCTACAAGAATTGGAGGTGGCAGCCTAATGGATGCAACCTTCCAAGGTAATCAATCCTTTTATATAACTTAATTTTCTACACGTTTTTTTCAACACTTTCTAAACTTGCTTAAGGACATTGAAATTCAAAGTTCAAGCACTTTCAAGTTAGTTTAGTTTTAGAAAATAAAAGATTTTCTGTATTTAATTTTTGTTTTCCTACATAAATACAAAAATATCACCTCTTTTCTTATTTATTTTTTTTAAAGGTTTGTCTAAAAAAAGTAGAGCAATGAGACGTTGTTGTAATTACTTGTGAAAATATTAAAAAAAAATAAAAAAATCTCAAATCAAACAAACCAACAAGTTTTATTTGGGCAGCATTTTTTCAAATTAGTTTTCTTTTCCCCTAGCTATTCAAAGCATAAAGATAAAAGCTAGTGCATCTGTGCATGTTTCTGGTGTAATCAAATAAGCAGTGCATTTTCAATGTTAAAATATTTTCATTCATTTAGTTGGAATCTTCATGGACTTGAAATCTTTCCTTGACAAGTGACAAATATTTGGAATTGTGTGAGCATCACAAGATTGTTCTGTGCTTCTGACATCAGCTTTGACGCTTTGAAGTTGTTGCACATGTTGAGGGACAAGAGAATGATGTTTATTGGAGACTCATTACAAAGAGGTCAATTTGAGTCTATGGTCTGTTTGGTACAATCCATAATTCCTGAAGGAAAGAAATCCCTCCATAGAATTCCACCAATGAAGATCTTCAAACTTGAGGTATATCACTACGTGCCTCTCAGCTATCTAAACTTTCCAAGCTTATGCATGCTGCTTTTATCACAGGGAAAAATATATTGACCTCTTTCAAAGCTATTGTTTATTATATTTATACTTTTATTACATTTTAACTAACTTCATTGTTCGTTTAACGTATTTTTTTAACAAGTGTTTAATAAGAAATATATAAATAATAAATTTTATTAAAATTTATAACATTTACTTATATCAATATATTAAATTTTATATTTTAACGATAAAATAGTCAATAAACCCGACTTTCTAAGATTTTGTGTAGCTTTATTTTCATAGGAATTCAATGCATCGATTGAGTACTATTGGGCTCCATTCATTGTGGAATCCATTTCAGATCATGCCACAAACCATACAGTACACAAACGAATGGTGAGGCTAGACTCCATTGCTAATCATGGCAAACATTGGCAAGGAGTGGACATTTTGGTGTTTGAGAGTTATGTTTGGTGGATGCACAAGCCTTTGATCAATGCTACGTGAGTATCTAACCATCATGTAGTTCATTGTTCATAACACTAATTTCTTTCTTCCTTTTCGTTGAATTTGTTTGGTACATTTTCTTTTATTTCAGATATGGATCACCAGATGATGTCAAAGAATATAATGTCACCACAGCATACAAGTTGACTTTGGAAACATGGGCAAATTGGTTAGAATCTAACATCAATCCACTGACACAAAAGGTTTTCTTCATGAGTATGTCTCCAACACATTTGTGGTGAGTTGTTACGTTTTTTCTCTGCATAATTTATCACTAAATCCATTTCTGATATTTTTAGTACCAAACCCAGTCTTTGTTCTTGTTTTTTTTTTTGGTCTAGTTTGTTCTTGTGCTTCAAACAATGGAAAAAGACTTGCAACTCTACAAGTCTAGTCATGATTGGCATAAAGAAAGTTATCTGACTTAAATATTTTTTAATCATTATATTTTTATAAAATTTTTATTTTAATCCTAAAAAAGAAACAATTGATTTTGGTTTCAATTTTTTTTATAAATTCAACATATTTAATCTCTCTCACCAATGTGACACAGTGAAAAAAGTTAACATATCACAACTTCTTTATTAGTCACAAGCAACCAAAAGCGTTGAATCTAAAAACAAAAAGGTTAAGGGACTAAAATTAAAATCTTACAAAAATATAACAACAAAAAGCATACCTGATTTTTGTTTTCATTTCTTATTTTTACAAGTAATTTATTAAACAAAGAATTTCACAATATTTTTGGTCAAACTAAATAGCCCTTAAAGGTTTTTTTCGGAATGAAAAATTGAACAGCAAATATAGTTAGCTCAAGCTCAGTTTCCTTTAATTGTTGTATGTAGATCACTCCCAAAATGAAAACTGTTTTCATTCTTCAGGAGCTGGGAATGGAAGCCAGGAAGTAATGAAAACTGCTTCAAGGAGTCATACCCAATCCAAGGTCCATATTGGGGCACTGGCTCAAATCTTGAGATCATGAAGATAATACATGATGCACTACAAGTACTGAAAATAGATGTCACCCTCTTGAACATTACCCAATTATCAGAGTACAGAAAAGATGCTCACACGTCAGTTTATGGGGAGAGAAAGGGCAAGCTCTTGACCAAAGAACAAAGAGCCAACCCAAAAGATTTTGCTGATTGCATTCACTGGTGCTTACCTGGAGTCCCTGACGCATGGAATGAAATCCTATATGCATATCTGTTGAAGAATTATGAAAACTTTTCTTGACAAAGATACCATTAGAGAAGGCACAAGCATCTCTCAAATGAGGGGCACACTCAAAAGTTTTCATTAATTCATCATTCTATTTCTCATTTACAAAGTTCAGCAAAATTTGGAGCTCAAATAGAAATAGATTAATTAGCTGTTAATATGAAGTCGATATCTATATATACCAAGGAAAACACTTTCTATGTATGCAATTTGAGAAATAAAAATTAGAACAAAAAACAGCTTTGCATAGAACCAATGCAGCATTGAAAATTGTGACCACAAATAATTTATTATTTATTAGCATATTCGTCATGGAAACCTAAACAATGTTATTTTCAGCAAGTACTGCCACCTTCAACATGTACATTTTCAAAATAAGAGCGCCAAAGTAATTGGTCCATCATTATTGACGTGCAACCTAATTACATTTACAGCAGCTCCCAGTCACCTTCAGAAGCATGCTGCACTTGCAAATCCTTAGAGTTCGCATTTGTTCTGGAGCAAAATGGCAAGAGATTTTGTGAAGAACCTTGACCAGGATCAATATCGGCATCTCCATACCATATCGCTAGCTGTTCATACTCCTTTGCTAACCTCTTCTTCGAAGTAAATGCATCCTGGATTCTTTTCTGTCTCAAGAAAGAAGATAATAATGGTACATATAATATTTCTTGATTTTCCTAAAAGCATAACTCATTTCATAAAATAAACTTCATTTCCTCCTACCCATTTTATTTATAAAAGAAGGAATAAGGGAAATATATCAAAGCCACTGCATTTTCTTTTATAGCACAAAATAACTCGCTTTTACAGAGTAGTTAATAGTGGTGTTAGTTGGCAAGTTCCAAAATTGCTCTATACATAAAACTCATAAAAATACAATATATAGATATACTTCTGTAAATACTTTACCCATTGAAACACATTATTCAAGAGGACAAGGAGAGTACCTTGTATGATCTAAGCTTTTGAGCTCTGCATGAGACTGCATAGAGTTCACTATCATCCACAAATACACAGCTTTCCTCAAGCTTTGGATCATCATTCAATTGAATGTCTACCAAGCTGGATTCAGTAGAACTGACTAGTGGTTCGTCTAATCAAGCAAAAGCCATATTAGATAGGTGATAATACAGTCAAATGAAGCAAGTAAATGTCATCAATTATAAGATTCCTCATTAAAATTTCTGTTCCGATTGTTATTTTTCTTTCATCTTGTACAGGATCGATTTCTTACCTTACCTTCAATAAAATATTGACAAAATTCTAGAATGAGACAGTGAAGAACAAAAAACAAGTGTTGATACACATGATGTACTTAGGATAGACATGATCCCCAAAGTACAAAAAGGGAAAGACCGTTGAAAAAACATCAGGGAGAAAAAACCAACTTCAATTTCAAGTAAACATACTCTTGAAAACATTTCACTTATCAAAAAGTAAGAGTCAATAACCTCCCATTTCATAAAGTGATTTTGTGTCTGCATTGCAGAAATACCATACTTAGTAATGCAAATGTTGGCAATTGACAAACACAAACCTTTGAACCTAAAACCAAACCAACATTACTCATGAGAATCCAAATGTGAGAAAATCAACTCCAAAAAAATATGGGTCACTGGACATTAACAAAACACAATTATATGTTTCTCTGTTCTCCACCATCAGACTTGCTAAAACAGGAAGTTCCCACAGTTGATACAGCACATTTGGCTTTGACTGTGGATACTAAAAATCAAAACAACCATATAGCGAAGTAAGATATTTCAATATTGTTATTTTAATATTTTATCAAGAGTTAAATTTCTTTTAATAAATATAATATTTTACATGCTCATTTGATTTAACTATATCTGAAAAGGATAGCCCTGTCTCGAACAGAACATATCTGCTATGCCTTATTCTAGATTAATTATCCAAAGACATTATTTTTCATCAACCTTGGAAGTATCATCTTATTAAACCCAGTTACAGTTTATAAGATGAGTGAAAGAAAAAGTTCTCATAAATGAAAATTTGAGGATACCAACCATTGGATTCCATCAATTGACAGCAGCCACAGAAAACAAGTCCATCCCGTGATTCCATGATCTGACCAGTTATAAGGGCACATGATTCACAACATACTCGTACCATGGAACAATCTGAAATACGCCAGGCAGCATCACCTGAATTGATTTTGCAAGATTCAATTTCAAAGGAGTAGCTCCCCCGTGATTTTGAACATGGACTGACAGAAGATAAAGAACTTTTGAGGCATATAGGTTCCATCTTTGTGATGGGCCATTCGCAGGACACAGCAGAATCTGTAAGTGAAACTTCAGCTAGTATACCATGTGTATCCTCATCAATAACATCAGACGATTGATTGAACAAGAAGACTTTAATTGATTCTTCCTCATCTAGAGATGGGGAATTCAACACTTGTGAGGGCGACGAGTTCATAGCATTTTCTTTAACAACCAAACACAAGTTCTGTTCTACATTCTCATCTGTATTATCCTTTGTTCTGATCAAAACCCCACATCCGCTGTGGGAAGAACCAGAATAGGATTCACTATGTATTGAGAATTCAAGGGATTCGTCCTCTTTAGGCACAGACTCAATGGCAATTTCTTCAAAGCTTTTGTGCAAGTTTTCTTTCTTAGACCCAGAAGTTTCTCTCGAGTCATCAGCAACCTCATCCTGAGTTATGTAAGAATCTTCCACCTCAAGGGAATCTGAGCAAGTTTCATCATATACTTGATTTACAAGATTGTGTTGGATAGGAGCACCAGCTTCCTGATTATTATCAATATCAGTTCCAATAGAATCGTGCAATGACTCAACAAAATTATTGATCAGACTTTCCTCATCCTGTTTTTTATTATCTTTATTATCAACAACTGACCCAACTGAAGAGCCCATGTTATTTGTTAAAGCTACTGAATGAGCTTCATATTGTGAATCAACCGAGGTAGGAAAAGGAAGTAGCTCATGCACGACTCCAGAATAGAACTTTTTCACACTGTCTCCAACATTCTGGACCTGATTCTCAAGATATTTAACTGCATCCTGAATACAACCAATAAAGAAAAAATAACAATGGAACTTAAAGATTGTAATGTAACCAACCTCAAACATGCAACATACTAGCAAAAGAAACAGAGCAAAGATCAAAGTAACAAGTGGAATACTGGAATGAAAAGTTCCAGTAAATGGAGGTTCTTTCTTTAAACTACCCCTGGTTTGGAATGATTTAATTATAGAATGATTGAAAAGAAATCATTTGAAAACTTATCAGAATTGAGATATTATTATGTTTTACAAATCCTCAATATGACCACAAAATTATTTGTAAATGAATTGAATTATTAAACTAATATTGTTCCAAATAAGGTTTATAAAAGAACAGGGTGAATGAAATTAAACAATTAATTCTATTTTTGAGATTCCAAATACAAAGAAATGAAAAAGTGAGAAGGGAAGCAAAATAAAATAAAATGAAAAAGAAATAATGAAATAGCACCTGGCCTACTATATCATCCACCTCCTGGCACACTGCTTCAAACTTCTGGTAAATGTTCCCCACCCAGTTTAGATGCTTAACCTTCAAATCCATTACGGGCTTGTAAAACTCTGCAGGACTAGAACTCTGAATCCTCAAGTTTACAATAATGGCATTTTAATCTTAGAAAAAGCTGCAACAAGCCAACAACAGTGAAAGGAGGATATCATACTTAATACAGTCATACACAACAAATGTATATGCCAAACAGAACTGTCTTCCACTCTTCATGAGATAATATATCTACCAGATGGTATGCCTTAAATTTTAATACAATCATAAAAAATGTAATCAATCTCACACTTCTGAAATTCAGTGATGATAAGTTCATAACTGGTAAGTTTATCCTAAAAATTCAATTCCCTCGGCTTACATCGTAGTTCTTCTAAAAGCCAATTAAGCATGTGCAAACCCAATTCATCCCACTTTCAAATTTTCATACAAATTTTACAGCCTATTCTATCATTTAGACATATCATATCGCTTGAATAAAGCTTAAAAATTTGATTTTGAAGTCACTAATTGACTACAATCCTCATTACTTCTATCCACACACCTTCCTCAGATTCCACTATACATCATTTAATTTAACGATAGAAAAACAAGACTGGTTACAATGGCATAATACAAAATACATAATTTAACACTAGCATTTGTCTTTCTTCTCCATGGTATTTACAACAACAATAAATCATGCAATTCAGGAAAATACCCAATTCCCTCTATTTCTCTATGGTGATGATGCCACCAGAGCCAACATAATTTATATATATAAAAAAAAAAGTTATAGAATCTTCAGAACATGCATGATGCATATATTATCATACAGCACAAACCACAAAGGTGACCAAAATATGCATATGTGAGTGCAGAACTTTCAGTGTCAATAAAAACGAAAAGGGTAAGTAAAAGATGAAAATTTTGACGCACCCAGGAATCGCGTGATCAATATTACTGAGAAACCATATATGGGTGGTGATCATAGAAGCATACCCAGAATCCAACTGAGGTGAATTATGGGATAAGGAGCAAACAAAGGGATAACAAAGAAGCGGTGATCGGAGACGGCAACGTAACTAACCGGTGAACGGCCAAGCACAGCTGAGTTGAGAGACAGAGGAAAGTGAGAGGGTTTTGAATTTGAGGCTGAGGAGAGCAGAATCACAGGGTTTTAACAAATAAACAAAGGCTTATGAAGTTACGATGGCAATTATGATAATAATAATAATAATAATTTACCTGGTTTTTATATGAGCACGTATTGTTTAGAGTTTACTAGTTATGATATTAATTAGATTGATATTATTTAAGTTGTTATATATTTAAAAAACTATGTATTATAATTTTTTAATAAATGGATTATAATTTTATCTAAAAAACAATGATTTTAACACATTTTATTCTGTTTTGAATTCGTTAATATTTTGCTCTTGAAGGATATTTTATTAAGTAATACGAGAGTATTTCAGCAAAAAAATAAAAAATACGAGTATCGATTTTTGTTATTATTTTTAAAAATTATAATTATTTTATTCAAGTATTAATAATTAATATTTAAATTATTAAGTATTTATATAATATTAAATTAGCTGAAAATAAAATAATAATAACACTTCTGTGTAATAATTTTCTAATAAAAAGAATTATAAATTTTTCATATGAAAAAATTTAAAAGATTTTAAATCTTAGCTGCGTAAATATTAAAATAATTAGAAATAAATTGTGTGAATAAAGTATTTCATCGTATTGTAGTAAAAAAAATTAATTTATAATTATAAGATAATTTATAATATCATGTTATTATAATTATTTTCTGACGGTTTGCTTTCAAACAAATTTTATTAATAATTATATGAATAGAATGAGGCATAACTTATAACATTTTAATCAATTAGTTCAATTAATAAAATAACAACTAAACCAAAAATTAAATGAAAACTCATTGATGTATAACTACTTTATTTTCATACAGGACTCACAAGAATATAATAAAAGCAAATCGTTAATGTTGAGTAATTTCTCGGATATATTACATTCATTATTTTTTATTCTTTTTTAAACAACTGTTAAGTTTTATCCATCTCTTTATTTCTATCTCATTATTCATTAAATTTATTATTTTCCTTTGCATCATATTTTAAATATTATTAAATTTATTATCTTCATTATATTTATTAATTTTTTCCTCTCAAGATCCTTTATACTTTTAAAGTAGTTATTAAATTATGTTTTCATTACATATGTATTTCAAATATATGAAAAAATATTTTTAAAAAAAATTCATTTAGAGTTAAATTGTTTCAAAAATTCATGATTGATAATTATTCATATAAGTCAAATAAAAATTTCTAAAAAATAATTAAATAAAAAATATATGCACATTTGGAAAATGTTAAAATAATACAATAATATTTTATTAATTAATATAATTTTTTATTGTAATACAATAACTTTTAAGTTTTATCATCTTGATCTTTTATATATACAGTAAGGCATATAAATGAGTAAATGAACGTAATTTGCGACTATTTACCTACGGTCAAACCTAACCTATTTAACAGTATTTATTCTATCCACAGGTATTTAGTGTGAATATTTAATGGGTATGAAAGAATTGTCATCCTTAATATAATATTACTTTGTCTTAGTAAAAATATATATGCAAAATTTCCAAGAAAATATATAAATGACACTAGTGTAGGGTATGGATAAGATACTATAGTACCTATCTCCGTATTTGTATTTTAAAAAAATACATGTACCCAATTCTATATTTGCATGGGTATAAACATTAATTCTTGTACCCGTACTCTTTGTATACCTGCATACCCATCTTTTTGTCATTATCCGCACTTGTTTGAGAAAGAAATATTTATAAAAAAAATATGTTTATATAATTTCACATAAGTAAAATAATAATATAAAAATTCAATAAATAGTTGCCGAACAAGGTACGAACATAAATAAAAAATAAATATTCAAATATCACAAGTACTAAATGTATCTTAATATAGTAAATTTTTAAACTAAAATTCTTAGAAATAATAAACAAAACTAAACACACAAGTTATTTGTCGGCGATAATCCTATCTTGTGTAAGATTCAATCGAGCAACAATATTAGAACGACAATAAAAAAGATCTACACAATGAGTGGTCCTTAGTGTGGAATCACTTGGTGACCTTTTATGACGGCATTGACAACTAACTCTAATAAATAACGTTTCATAGTTGTTAGATTTTAATGAGACAGACATTGAAATGAAAATAGAATTAAAGTAGAAAAGTTCAAATACTAATAACAAAAAGTAGATAAATAAAATATTTTTTTAACTTTTGAATTTGAAATTGTAAAAAAAAATTATTATAATAATATATATATATATATATATATATATAAATACTAATATTTTTAACTTATATACAATACGAAAGTATTTTGTCAAAAATATAAATTTTTAAAAAATTATTTCAATGAATTAAATATTTATAATGTATATAAATTTTAAAAGAAAGAATTTGAATAAAAAATAAATAATCACAATAAAATTTTATAATAAAGAAATATATGTGTATATAAAAAATTATACTTTTTTATCTGAAGAAAAAATTTACAAATAAAAATTGACAATAATTTTTTATATTTTATATCTTTTTTAAAATTTATTTAAACGTAAATAAATAGTAAAAATAATATTATTTAGATTCAATACATTATAATTTTACATAAAAAATAAAATTTACATATTATTAATAAATAATAAGTTTACGGTAATAGTAGGTGATTGTAAAATTTATAAAATATTTACAATATATTTATTATTTATCATTTACTTTATAATTTAAATATTAATATAATTTTATTAACAAAAATATGTATTTAAAAAATATTTTATATATGTCATATATAAATAATATTTTAAAAAAAAATCAATCTGATATCAACTATGCAATAATTAAATTATATTAGTTTAATTAAATGATATAAAATAGTAAATAATTTTTTTTATTAAAAATATAAAAAAATAAATTTTTTGATTTATTTTATTATTAAATATATTTTTATATTAATCTTATATAACTTCACATATATAATGTATAGTTGTAGAATAAAGTTTAAGCGTCCACGCGCGCATGCACACACACATACCTATATATATATATATATATATATATGCAATTATAAGATGAGACAAATACTTAAATATTCATACAAATATTCATACCCGCACTCATTTCTATTAAAGTTTGCAAGTTTTTATCCATTGTGAATAAATTTTGCAAGCACACATTAAATACTTTACTCTTTATCATCACTCTCAATTTATAATTTTCTTATAATTTTATAAATTTCAATATATTTGAACTTATAATTAAAAATGTTAAAAAAAACATATTTCCAACGCTCCTCTTACAATAATAATATATATAGTTCATACAATATTTTCTAATAATGCTTTCTTTAACGCTACATTTTCTATATCTCAATCATATAACTCATCTTGTGACACGCTTTTCTATGAACATGTATTTAATTCACCTCAATATGTTATATCACTCAACTTTTCCCTTCAAATCGTTTGAATGTTATCGAATAAAGGAAACATGAAGTCCTAGTCATCTATGATATTCATTTTCTTAATACCTCTAAAAAAAACAATATCTTAACATAAATAACTTTCTCATGTACTAAAAAAACAAAAAAAAAACCTATTTCAAGAGGATGCAAAATTAGTCATTTAAAAATTAATGAATGTCACTAGGAGTCCGCATTTTACCATTTAAAGCCCTCCCATACTTTCTGAAGTGTTGTTTGTTTTCGATTTCCGATATCAAATTGCCGTCAATAAGTTATCAAACCAAATTAACAAAGCAGCTATAACCAAACCCATCTAAGATGAAAGCATTCATTTTATTTTATTATTTGGTCAAGAAGAATTCAGTTTTCTCAACTTAATCACAATTGACTGAACAGTTACAAGTGAACACAATCATAGGCATCAAATGACCCCTACAGAGAATAAATTTACGACGCACGTCCCGGGCATCAGGTCCGTCATGTTTTGAAGAACCACAAGTCAACACTCATTTCATGAATGATGTACCACTCAGCTACCAACCAACTGTTTCTTACTTCAACCGAAGTCCTGCTTCAGCACATCTTTGGGCTCACGTTCAATTATTGATGAACACGACCAACACGGAGTGTAGGAACATTTTACCAGAAATACAGCCAATGACAGTGATTAGGATAATACCACTTCCCGATTTAGGTTTGGTCTGAATTAATAAGATAATATAGTCTATTGCTAAATTAAACTAAAACAAAATCTGCATTAATCATGGGAGGATTAAGACGGTACTGAGACCTTAGTCGATTCAACCTCAACAAAGATGTTTTGCGATAAGGGTATTGCAGAAAACCATGCATCAGTACCCTTGCTTAACATGCATATACTTGAAAATCTCATGGCGCACAAGTTACAACAAACATGGTTTTTCAAATACATTCAACCGAATGGCAGTCAGCAACTACCTAGGGCAAAGAAACTACAGAGAACATGAAATTTGACCAAAGTAAACCCTGGTTGTTATTAACATGGTCAATAATATTCTCAGGCAGGATTAACAAATAGTTCAATTTCAGATAAAGTATCAGTCTCAGAAGCACAACGAACACAAGAAGATCCGATGAAGTGTAACATCACCCAACAGGGTGAAATATCTGGAGTAGACCATCAAAGTCCTACTAGAATACACCCATAATTAAAAATAATAGATAAAGCAGTTATCAAACACATTCCACAAGCATGTAATTGTGCTACAGATGGGAGATGGAAGGGAAAAGAAGCGGACAGATAACAGAAAGCCAGGTAATAAATTGTGGGGCCATTCCAGGTTTAGCTACAGAGAATACAAGCACAAAGACCGAATAATTGAGATCCAAGATCAAACTGCTACTATAAAATTGTGTAAATATCATTTCCTAGATTTAGAAGGAAAACCTCGGCACAATATTAGAGTTCCTTGTGACTAGGAGATTAAAGGTTCAACTCATGAAATAAGCCTCTCTCAAATGCAAGGCAAGGCTGCCTAAAATAGACCCCATAATGAATTGAATCTGTCCCTTCCTTACACCCCCTTACACCCCCACCATGTTGAGAGCTTTGTAGCACCAGGTTGCCCTTAATCGTCTCATCAGAATTCAGAATGTATTATTTTCTAAACACTACAAAGGATTTGGATGCAAAAAGAAATGGAACAAAAAGGAAGCAAAACATTCTTCAATCTACAAGCGCTTTTATCAATATAAACAGAATGCCTGCCATATGTAACACACGGTATGTTTCTCAACCAGTCTCCACGTTAACAATCAACAATATCATGCCAAAACACCAAAGATGCAAAGGCCTCCGTCATCAACCAGCAAAACAAACTAAATCCTATCATATGGGAAAAAATGGCATCAATTCATTGAAATTTACGATTTCATAGCTCTCTCTCTCACAAAAAACAGCCCTACATCCAGATGTTTACCATGAGGATAATATCATACAAGATAGTTTGACAGTCATACTCAATGTGGTACAGTAAAAAAGGCAATATTGCAGTGCTCAAAGAGCAGAAGATAGTTCAAGAGTATGAACAATCTATGCCAGTGAATACCCATCTAGTGCAACAACTTGCCACCCAGAGTGTTGAAAATAAATTCATATAACACATGCTGATACAATTAAGCAAAGGTACAAGTCAATGGAGGCAGCTCGTGAATGAGAGAAACAGAAAGTAGGAATCAATCCAAGGTCTAATTAAGTAATTTTAAAAAAAGCTGTATGTGATTTTAAAGAATAACAGATGAACAGGCATCACCAATTCCCAACATCAGAAATCTTTTGCGTAGAGATCTGATGACTTATCCAAAGCAAAGTTAAATAGTACAATGGCCAAATCAATAAATTACTTTCATGATATTTACAACATGCCACAATACAAATGATATCAATCCCCAACGTAAAAAATCATTGTTAAGTTAGAATGCTCGTTGGATGAGAAAAAGTTAACTTGCCACTAGAAATGGTTGGACCCCCCCCTCCCAAAAAAAAATTATAGTTTCATCACTACTTACATTGTACAAAGGAAATTATTAGATAGTCACAACACCAAACCAACAGGCTACTAACACCACATTAGAAAATATTGATACAGTAAACAAAATGAGACAACCGCAACATCGAACAGCTTTAATCGAAACTAAGTAAAAGAAAATGTAACTAAATACAAGCTCAGCTAATAAAAATCACCAGGATCCATAACTATATAATTAAAACAGAGGTTGTAACAGCCCAGATGATCCAACTAAAAGTACAAAACTAGTCTATCTCAGTGGCTTAAACTAACAGCATTCATAAGAATCAAGGCTTAAAAAGGGAGCAGATGAAGTCAAGAGGCTGTAAAAGGACAGGCTAACACATTCATTAGACCAGAGCACATAGTCTGCAATCACGCAATCACCAGAAGCACACAAAGCATCTGCGCCCAATAAGCGATGATACACCTGAATCAAACATCCATTCAACTCAATTCATCATTTCACAACCATCATTCAAAGAACATTATATTGTAAAAACACAGGCTTACTGGCAAATAATAATAAACAAATCAATGCTCACCCTTCCTTAGGAACCACATGAACAAATAGCCTGTGTCAAGGTACTGATACGTCCAACTCAAAATACAATATCCAAGATCATTTCAAGCAAAAGCATATATATAACATGCACAACCATGAAATTATGAAGCCAACAAAAACACAAAACCAAACCATATACAACAGGCAAGCAAAGGAAGAAAAACAAACAATGCAAAGAATGAACAAACAACTGAGCAAGCAAGAAAATTGAGCAACACACAAAAACAGGTTCATCACAAGATAAAGACAAAATCACAGAGATACTATCACGTCAGAATAAATTTAAAATCAGGCACAAGACACATTCCATAGTGGAAAATCACCTTACAAGAGTTCGCATAAGGAGTTTATGCCATAAATTTGACCATGAAACTTATTGACATAACTTGAAAATTCTTACTTTAATAAGCTATATGAAGAAAATCATTTCAACAAAGCTGAAAAGAGTTTATAAGAGTCAAACAAAAGCTACTTATATTTGCCAAAGTCAGAAAACACCAAAACACCCACGGAAACTTTAGATTTTATGGCACACAATTCACAATGAGAGTTGACAAAAGAAGTAAGAATCGAGGAAAAAGAAAGAACTGTACCCAAATCCCGGCTGGCCTTCTTCATAGCCTCAAATAAGATAAATGAAAAAAGAAACTTTATTATCTACAGGGCTACGCTTTTATGGTACTATACACCAAGGCAATGCCAAATCTTAACCTTCTCATCGATATTATAACAGTTTTTCTTATATGTGATCAAAGACATGCAATAAGAAATCAATAAATAATAATATTTTATTAGAAATTGTAACATTTATTGTTATTGTGTGATTTTCAATGCATTGGATATATTATCATAAAAAATTACTAGATATAGGTTCTTATTGCTTATCCTTGGACACATTAAAAAAATCTACAGTTAAAAAAGTCTTTGATGTTTATCTGCTAATGCACTTCACCTCATACCTCTCAATGAAAAGACAAACATGCACTTTTTAAGAGCCCAGTAATAACATATAACCATCAATGGTTGCCAAGATGATAAGAATCTTGTTTCAATAGAATGAATGGGTATTGAAATCATAGTTATCAAATAGCAGGCAATTGCGGCACTATAGCAACAGAGGAGTGGCCATAGGCCGCTACAAAATTTGAACAGCAGAGAATTTTTAAATAACGGTTGTGGCAACTGCACTAGCCGCCAGAGAGCACTAGAGTGAAACTTTTCCAAAAAAAAGGCACTGCTTTGGAGGGCTTTTTACTTTTATTGTTATTTACTCACATGTATTACTGAAAAGTTATGATGCTTTTTTTTAAAAAAAATTATGAATAAGTCATGGATTTTGTGTTATCGCATTTATATATATAGTTCATAAACAGTATAAATTATTAATTTGTATATAAAAATTCTAAATTGCGGTCATTCTGCTATGTGCTATTCCACTACAGCAATTTTGGTGACAGCCACTATGCACCGCTATCCAAGATTGATAACTAAGATTGAAATTATGAAATGCCGTGCATGTAATTACTAAATAACCTACCTTGTAGTTTAGGTAAAAAATTCCAATCTGCATCAGAGAATCCAACTATCCAAGTTGATCGGTAAAAATTAAAGCAAGAATCCACTATCAACACACAGTCCAACTAAACCAATGCAAAGTGACAATTTAACCAGAGAAAATCAAGCAACACGTAGCAAGGAAAAAAACAAGCACGAACAACCAACAAAGGCACAAAAAGCAAGAGAGAAAACATGCACAATCTGCACACAACCTACAAAGAATTTCAAGAACAAAAACACTCAAAATTACCTCTCAGTAGTAAGGGGGAACGTTCGGATACATCGAACCAGGTGGAACCCTAGGGACAGGCGAAGCCCCAGAAGGGGGGTGATGCTGATTCTGGTACCCAGAAGAAGTTGATAAACTATAGTGTCCACTCTCAGGATATCCTCCACCACCAGCAGGCATTCCCCTATACAAAAAACCAGCGCCACCACCCAAACCAGCACCACCACCCCCAAGTCCCCCACCAGCACCAGCACCACCACTGCCTCCTCCCAAACCTCCAGCACCACCACCCAGGCCTCCAAAACCGGTCGACCCAGGCCCGCCATACCCACCATAAGGCCCACCCATCCCAGCCCCATACCCACCTGCACCGCCAATCGTCCCCGGCGCTGGATTAGACAGCCCACCAACTGACGAATTCAAAGGATGATTACCCAACGGAGGCTGACCCTGAAGCCCACCATAAGAACCCAGCCCAACAGGGCCTCCATACTGGCCTGACAGCGAGCCTGGTCCAGAAGCCGCAGCAGGAGGCATCCCCATCGCGTCTCCATGACCATGATGACCATGCTGAACATTCCCATGGGCCTGGGGCCCCTCCGGCCCAGCCCGCTTCCCTTGCTTCCCATCCGTTATCGCAAGCTTGCAACTCAATTGTCTCCCCTCCACTGTCTTCACAGGATCCAACAGCGCAGCTTGCGCCCCCTCAGGGGTTTTATAAACAAAGAGCGCAAAACCCTTCGATTTCCCTGTCTGCTTGTCAAACCCTAACGGCCCTTCCTCGATCTCGCCATAGACTGAAAAGTGTGCGAGAAGCTTATCGGCGGGAAGGTCCGGCGGCACGTTAGCAACGTAAATCTTGCGAAGCGCAATGTCAGCGGCGTTGGCGTTGGAGGCGGAATTCCCCGCTGCGGCGAGCTGCGTGACTGTCACGCGCCCATCAATGCGCTTGCTTGGCTCACGGAGCGCAAGGAGGGCACCGTCGACGTGGCGAAAGGTGACGAAGCCGTAGCCCTTGGATTTCCCGGTGGCCTTGTCGAGGATGACGACGGCTTCTTCAAGGTCCCCATAAGCGGAGAAGAGGGAGCGGAGGCCGTCAGTGGTGGTGTCCCAGCCGAGGCCGCGGATGAATAGCTTGCGCTGGGAGACGTCGGGGTCGGCGACGGTGCGCACTGCGGAGAGGACGTCGGCGTGGCGGACTACGGCGTCTTGCAGGATGTCGAGGAGCTGGTCAGGGGTGAAGCGCTCAATGATTTTGCGGGCTTCAGAGGGAGAGAGCTTTAAAGGGTCGGAATCGCTGCCGGCGCCGAAGCCGTTTTCGTCGAGCTTGCGCTTCTTGGTCGGATCCATCGCCATGAAGGTTGGAATTTTGAAGAGGTTGATGGTGAAGGAACGGTAAAACCCTAACCCTAAATCCCTATTTTGATGCTCTCTCAGAAACTAGAGCCTCCAAACTGAGTGAGAGTGAAGAGAGAAACAAAATTGATATTTGGGAAATAAATAGACCGATTATAGATTTTGGGTTTGGATTGCTCAAATGTAATGTTCTGGGCCTCTCTTGCTGTCACTTTAATCTCATCTTGTAATTTGATCCAAACAGAAAACTAATAATAATTTCCTTTTCTCCAATAAAAGTTGTCTCTGTTGTAGCAAAATTATGATAGAAAACATTTATATTATTTTTATATTATAGGTAAATATTTATAATTATTATTTTCATAATGAATATTTAATTTATTAAATTATTTTAAAATTTTATATACTATTCCTCATTATTATATCCCTAATTTAAAAAATTAAATTTAGCTCAATTTGCTAAAATTAAATATTTATTATTATGTATGAGTAACTATAATTTGAACCCGTTTAATTGCATAGGATCGAAAGGAAAGTATTAGTAATACATTGTTTATCACGCAATATAAATAATAATTTCTATTTTGTATTGAAATTAAAAATTATATAATTTTAAGAATTAAAAAAAATTCACAGTGTAATACCCTATTTTCTTGAATAGATGAAAAAAAGTAGTATTTTAAACAAAATAAAAAGGCACCTCATAATATAACCAGGTTTAATACTATTAATATATCTTACATAATTTTTTTTATATTAGAGATACAGATTAAGTTTTTACTTGTAGGTTAAATTTTAACAATATATTTTAGAAACTAGTTTTAAATTTTACAATTTTTAAAAAAATCAAATGTTTAGTTAGGTTTATATTTTAAAATATTTTTAACGTTATTATTTACTTGTTAGAAAATTTGTCTATCATGTGTTTGATATATCATAATATTGACACAGAATTTTGTTAATTGATTTAACACCTAAATGAAAAAAATAACTTTTTTTACTTAATCTAATACAAATTAAATTCTTTAAAAAAAAAGGAGTAAAGACTAATTGGAGTTAGTCCTTTAGATTGTGTTGATAAGATATTTCAAAAAGTTTACAATTTATATATTTCAATAGTAAAAAAATAATTTTAAAATACTATAAAATTTTAATTAAATCATTTTTATATCAAATAAGAAGAATTTAAATGACTTGTTTTTAGAAAAAAAAGATTATTATACTTATATTTATTATTTATAAGTCTTATTATAATTGACTCTTACTTTAAGGTTATTTATTATTGCTTTTATATTTTACAAGATATTAAAATTCTCCATCCAAACACAACCTTAGCATATAGGATGAGGAATTTAAAAATTCTAAAGATATTCTATTTGGGGTAAAGAGGATAATCATAAATATTGTCATTTGATTAGTTAAAGTAATTTGACAATTGACAATAAGTTTGGAGGGTTAAGAGTTGGTAATCTTACATGTATTAATAATAAGAGATCAATGAAGTTAGGTTAACAACTCTACAAGGGTGTTGATTAGTGTGTATGAGAAGGGTTGTATCGATGAAGAAATCATCAAAGTGTGTGGTAATAATCGCTTTTGTTGGAAGGGGTTAGTTAAGATAGAGCCTTCCTTTTGCTGATTTTAAGATTTGGATAATAGGGATGAATCAAGTGTTAGTGTATAGGTTAATAGATGAATGGAGAGTAAAATTAGAATCTTGAGGATTGATGGGAGTTGGGATTTAGGCAAATGGGATTTCAAATCTATTATACAATTGTTGTTCATGTTAAACATATATTTAGGGAACCCTTGCGTAGGTGGACAATTATCTTTAAATAAAAAAATCTTTATTGTCCTTCAACTCATTCAAGATTTAAATTATTGATATCATCCATATAAAATCAATTATAAGAAACAACTCTTAAATTTATTCAAAATTAAATTGATGATAATTTATGTTATGTTTTCTTTATAGTTAACTAAATTTATTTGCTAAAAATAGTTTTATTTGATACAATAGGTAAACTGATCGGTTACTATTTTTTTTTTAAAGATAACAACTAAGAACACATTCTTTAATGTAAATATTTTGTAATACGATGTTAGTTATTTTATAATTTATTGAAAATAAAAATTATGAAAAAAAATATTAAATTAAGAATAAGAATAGTATTCACATAACTTTTATTATTTTTAATAAATTTCAGTTAATAATTAAAAATGTGTTAAAATTATTAATAAATTTTTAGAAATGTTGCTCCAGTTAGTATTTCTAAGTTTCCGCTGTTAGTTAAACGTATTGTTCTCATTTTTATTCATAATATTTGTTGTAATATTTTTTTTTTCCCATTCGATTTTAAAAACATAATATCTCTTTATATATCTGGATTTTTCCACCAAGGATTAATATAAAATTATAAAAAAATTGATTTACATTATCTCATTCCATTTAATAAAAATATTTATAAATACAAATGAAATTTAAAAAATTGTTATCCTAATTTTTAAGACAATAAATAGTTTTAAATAAAATATATAAATTAGAATTATTAAAAAATATATAATTATCAAATTTCAAATTTTAATATCGTAACGAGTTACATCCTTAAGAACACCTTAAAATTAGAAAACTTGATGAGGAACATATAAAATTACATATAAACTGACTCGATACAAGACAATTACTTAACCTTGTTGTTTGCCTTTTGTGAGTTGAACAGTAGAGAAGCATAAAAGGAAGCAAGACTTGTTCGTCATGACTTTGTCTGGTACAGTAGTCTGAACATTTGAAAACAAGATCTTATCTTTGACCTTCTTTTCCTCCTTCTTCATCATCTCATTCATCATACTGGACTCAACCGCAATATCAGAACAACAAATCCAGAATGACTTTTTGGAGAAAAGCTTACCCTTTTTCTTCTTCCTCCCTTTCTCAACTGTCGTGGCTGTGCCTGTGCCCGTGGCTGCATATTCAACCTCTATTGCCTCCTCTGAAGGAACGAGGCCATACTCATATAAACCTTTGTTATTTGATTCCATGAGTTCCACAAATCAAATTAAACTCTTCACTTCACTGCATCCAATTAGTTTCTTTAAATACTTGTGAATTTCTTCTTGCATAAGAAATTACTCTGCCAATTTACGCGTATTGTGTCTAAATCGTAAGTGTCGTTTGACATTTTGCTTAACAATATTTATATTTTTATACCAATTTTATCTTATTATACCATTTATTATTTTTTTTCCCTATCTTTTTTTTTTTTTTTTCTCGTTTCACATCCCATTGGAGAGTTGAACTTAAAATATATAACAAGTTATCGTGTTTGAATAGAAGAGAAACGCATATGTAACTACGGGAGTGATTTCGTGAACAAATGCTAGTTCCTTTCTCCTTTAATATAATATAAAATATTAGAAACCATGGGAGAAGGAAACCTATATACTCTGATCAATTCAATTGGAAGTGTTAGCTATATTTTAAACAATTAATTTTTTAAATACTTTGATTTATTGAGTTTACATAGACTTGTTAAAGAATATTAAAAAAATGATATAATTTGTATCAGTTTAAGATACTTTATAATTAAATTCTTAACAATTTATCAAAGACTAGAGTCTTAAGTCTGTGAAGATAAATGAGTGTAATTATATGTTATTTTTTTTATTTTTTTGAGTAAATCGATATTTATAAAATGTATTATCAATCGCATCCATTAAAAATTATTTAATAAAAATAATTGATGTATTTGAAAACTTAAAAAAAAAGCTCAATTTGACATTTTTCCCTTGAATTTTTTTCACTTATAATTAATTAAAAATAGAAATAAATAATAATTTGATTGTAAACAACATTAGATCTTCTTTTTTAAAAAATTACTAATGCTTGTTAACTTAAATGATAAATATTTTATTTTTTCACATAAAAATTTATATTCAAGTAAAATAGTTAGCAGCGCCGGTCAATAATAACATTGCCGAGAAGAAAAGACTCAACGATAAATTCACCTGAGCTAATATTGTAATTAATTTCAATATCATATTTTTATCTTGTAATGGTTGATATAAAATTATTAATTAAAATGTACGTTTAAATTAATTTTAATTGAAAAAATATATTTTGTATGATAAGGCATAAAAATTAAATTTTGATGTCTAAATAAGCAGAAGAAAAAGATGGGAGAATGTAGAGCGTGGCCTTAATATTGTGAAGAAGATAGGATTGAAGCTCTTATTGAAGCTCTTCCTCTTACATGTTCAGATGTTCCATTTCATCTAACTCTTCCCAAAGCTTCAACGAACCAACCAACATGCTCCACTTCAACTCTCTGTAAGCTCTCTCTCTCTCACACACACACACACACACACACTTCCATAATAAAAATTCTAACTTGAGTTTCTTGTGTCAGTGTGAGAGGCATGTCGGTTTCACCTTCTCCCTTAACTTACATTTCCAACACGGTGGATTGCACTTGTGCATTTTCCCCTCCAACCACAACACTGCAAGTGCTTCCTCTGATGAAGACTGCAATCCCCAAATCGCCCTTTGTTTGTTGCTCCCAAAGGGTTCTCCCCATTGAGGACCTTCAAATGACTGGTTATTTGAACGATGGGAATGAAGGTGTTGCCCTTGGTGACTCTTTCAGTGAAAAGGTTCTGAAGGAGAGGATTAGAAGAATGAGAATTGGACTCGCAAACAAAGGAAAAGTGCCTTGGAACAAAGGAAGGAAACACACTGCAGGTAGTTATTTTATTGCATTTTAGGTTTAATGATAGGTTTGAAGGTTAGGGTTTGCAAAAAAATAAGAGGGGTAATTTTTTTAAAATAGATGACTTATATTATTGAAAATGAAAATATTTAAGATCGTAAAATGGATTCCACACATACTTTTTTGAAAACGAAAAATCGCTCATAAAAATTGCAGCATTTAATGTCAATATATTAATTTTGCTGGTTCTTTAGAAACTGTATTCGAAAGTTCTTATTGTGAATCTTTGGGCACTCGATAGAAAAATTGATATTTACAAGAGTAAATAAAATATTATTACGATAATTTTATATTAGCTATTATTTTATTTTTTCATTTTAGAAAATTATAAAACTATAAATGTTTATTAAAAATGAAAAATTCGTCCTCTCTTTTTTTTCTTTTAAACTTAACTCTCTAATGTACCCTTAATGGATATTGATGTATTCCTTGTAATTGGTTAATTTTGTGAGTGACTCTGGACACAATGCAGAGACTCGGGAGCTAATCAAGCAAAGAACATTAGAGGCTTTGAGGGACCCCAAGGTGAAGTCAAGTAAGAGTCATTGAGTTTTTGGAGTGTTTTTTTCTCCTCCTATATGTGTTCACAACATGACCTGCCTTATTATTGCTGTAGTTTTATTTGGTCCTTAGCTCCTTTGTTTCCTTATTATAAGTATTTAAATGCTGCTTGCCTTACAGCAGAATAATTTTGTGTTGCTAGGCATTTCCTTTCTTTTGATTCACCCAATAATTTATATTCACTTTTTCTCCTATCCTTGAAAAAATTTCAGGTGAGGAAAAAGATGGCTGAACACCCCCATTCTCATAGGTAACATATCTGTTATGTTGTTTTTCTGTATGCTTCCTCAAAACAGAATGTAATCTAATAGTTAAATCATAGGTAATTATAGTTTATAGATTGAAAACTATGTATCAAGGATCCATAGATGAGAAGAGGATGTCAGGTCTTGTATACTTGGGTGTCCATAATCTAGAAATCTTTTACTAAAAAGGGTTATTACCACTCTGTTGTTAATACTGAGGGGGATATGGAAAAAAAAAGTGCAATTGGAATAAAGACTTGGGATTAAACTTTAGTTTAATCATACATTTGGAAGTTGCAACTGTAGATAATTATGGAGGGATAACTTAGGAAATAAGGTTGTAAAAGCCATTTTACATTTTTACTCTAATTGCTGACTGTTAGGAGTTAGATATAAGAGAAGGGCAAATTAGATACAATTAGTTAGAATTGAGTTAGAGGGTTTGATATAAATAGGAGGAAGAAGAATGGAAGGATTCATTCTTGTTAGCAATGGTGAATTGGGCATCGGCTCAGTTGTAGAAAGGGGAAACCCTTGGAGAAGAATTATCTAATTTTCTTTATTGTGATTCAATATTTTGTAATAAAAGCATTCTATTCTCATATTCTGTTTCTGGGATTCTAACACAGTATCTAGGTACTTCAATAACTACTAAGTAATGCCTGGAAATTACTAAGTTGTTTGATGTTTTCTCTGGTGCCACTTTATTAATAAATTGTATAATTTAAAATTGTTCTGCTATTATATTGGAGGCAAGATATTGATCATTCTGTTGTTCTCAATGCACCTGAAAGCTTCTCTAATGTATAATTTTTAATGGTGCGTACATACTCTAAGGTGAATTCATTCATTTCTAATTAGTGATAAAAAAAAGATTTTATTGTCTTGAATTATGTATGTCCTTGGCATGAATGTTAAATGAATAACCATTGGCTGTGCATTCTTGAATTGTCATCGAGTATCAACCTTCCTGCAGTGATCAAATCAAGGCTAAAATAAGTCATTCGATTAGACGTGTATGGCATGAGCGGCTGAAGTCAAAGCGGTTGAGGGAGCAATTTTTCCTTTCATGGGAACAAAGCATAGCAAATGCAGCCAAGAAAGGAGGTAGTGGTCAGGAAGAACTAGATTGGGATAGCTACAATAAGATAAACCAACAGTTAGAGCTTGACCAACTTCTACAGGCTGAGGAAAAGGAAAAAGAAAAGCTGATGGTAGTTGCTGGAGCACAGAAATTTATTCAGACATGGAGGGAAAGCGTAGCCAATGCAGCTAAGAAAGGAGGTAGTGGGGAACAAGAACTTGACTGGGATAGCTATGAAAAGATACAAGAAGAAATGGTTATCCTCCGGCAGCTTCAGCGCACTACAGAGAAGGCAAAGGCAAAAGAGATGGCAAGGGTAAGAGCAGAGAAAGCAGCTAGGATAAAAGCAATTAAAAAGGTAATGGTCACTCAAAAGAGAAAAGATCGTCAAGAGAAGACTAAAGCAAGAGGGAATATCAAGAGTCAACCATGCAAAAATGCAGAGGAAGGCAAAGGTGCCTTGGACAGTCAAGAGTTCAAACTTTGCACTAAATTAAAAAAGGTAGGTTTTTTTTTTATTGTTTCTTTATTTATTAGCTGCTGATAAATGCAACATGACGAAGCAATTAAGAAGGAGAGTAGGGTGCCTACTGAGATAATTGAATATAAAAGCTGCCTAAACTGTACAATCCTAGTTCATTTGAGAGAGTAGAATCTTGCACAAGTTGCTTTTGTTGGAGTATAGAAAAAGGAAATTCTATTGTTAAACCCAGTAATTAATTGATTGCTTGGTCAATTGAAAAAACTTACTGGTTGGAGAGTTGAGGCAAGGGGAGGGAAAGTAAGGGCTTGTTTGTTTTGTGTTTTTAAAATTCAAAAGTTAAAAAAAAAAAACGTGTTTGTTAAGATGAGTTCTTAAAAATTATTTTTAAAAATAAATTTTCATTTTCAATTTTTAAAACTAAAAAACTATAATAACTTTAAGGTGTTTTTTTTCTCATCTTAAAAAAGAGTTTTGAAAACTAAACTGACAAACAAGTTTTATTTTTATTTTCTTTCTAAAAACCATTTTTTAAAATTATTTTAAAATGTAATTTTTAAAAATTAAAAACAAAAACATACAAGTCCTAAGATGGCCAATTTTTTTTCTCTCCCATTTTTGCATCCTCTCCAGTATTGAAGGGATTCAGACGGAAGAGAAAATGCTAAAAGTTTGTGGATTGTATTGACTAAATAAATCATCATTAGCTTGAATCTACTGTGAAGGTATAATAGTGGATTACTTAATTATCCTTCCTCCCTTCTTGTAAACCTAACAATGAACCAAACAGACCATTATAGTCTTGTTTATATCAAAACTTAAAATATGTCCTGTGATTGATAGTTTGTCTTTGGACTAGAGAGAGAATTGAGTCAAAAGACATTTTTCCAAAATTATGCCATTCTGAAATTAAAGTAGTACTAAAATCGTTATTTTTAAGAGTGATGTATAGGTCATAAAAGCATCTTTCCAGTGCAAGTGTTCAATATGATCTTAATTCTTACATTCATTCCAATATGATAAGCTGAAGCTATTTTGTTATATTTTTATTTACACCGCTTTGCTTCTAATGGTGTTATATTTATTGTCTTAGATTCACATAAGTAAGAACATCAACGGTGAAGGAGCTGGAGAAGGAGACATTTTTAATTCCATTTTTCCAATTTACAATAAATTGAATTTAGAGCTCATCAAGAGAGAAAAAATGCAGAAAGAGGTATCACTTGCGGATCAGATCCAAGCTGCCAGAGACAAAAAGGGCAAACTCCACTAATAAGGAATCTTCATATTCTGATTACTCATTTACTTGGATGTTTGTATCCGTATTATAGTTTCTATGTTGTAACAAATAGCTAATGAGGTGTATGTAGAACAACGTAAGCACTACTAGTAGTTTGTTGGTAGTAGAACAGGAAATGGTCGGATTAATTTGAACTCGTGCTTTTACTTGGCTTCGGATTCCAGCTCATTTTCTCTTATTCCTGTTTCTCTATTTCTTTGTAAAGAAATCTTGATCTCCCTTTCTCCCTCTATTGTTATGAAGATAATTTTATATTTCCATCATGTGTAGTTATGATACAACAGCCTTGATGAGTAATAAACTAAAGGCAAAAGGAAATTAGCTGCATTTCAACTGGGAGTTGATGATAATTTGAACATGGAATTGACATTTTGGCTGCTGGAGGAACTACCCCATTGCATCACTCGTAAGGAAATTGTTCGGTTGCAAATGAATATAAGTCGACAACATCTTAATAATGCCTGTTCCTGTTTGTGTATGCATCTCGTGTTCATTTTCATGCCTGTGAATGGTACTGCTTCTGATAGGGTTGGGAAGTATCCCTACCAAAAAAAGGTGGTGGAGAATTTGACGGGTGGTCACAACCCTACGTGAGGTCTTATTTCTCGCAATTGCTATTAACATACATATTTAAAAGTAATAATAAATGATAATTTAATATTATTTATTTATTTTAAAATAATTGAATAGATTGATTATAAAATGCGTTTGTCCACATAAGAAATGTATTATTACCCACCCAAATATAAACGTATCGTAGAATTTGTCAAATTTAACTTATAAGAAAAGTAAAAGAAAATACTTATTTAACATCTCTTGCCTTTACATAATCATAATTTTTTTTTACATGATAATGAAAATAATAATTTTTAATTATTAAATTTTATTATAAATAATTAAAATATAAAACTTGTGATATTTTTAAAAATAAATATAAATTATAAATATAAATTATAAATATAAATTATGTAGTCATACATTAATAATTAAAATCAAAACAATTAAACTTAAAAGTTAGTAATTAAATATATGGTTATTTTAAAAATTTCTGTGCACATCTTTTAAATTTAACATTTAAAATAAGATTTAATAATTTATTAATCTTATTTTTACAATAATTAAATATTTTTAATTAATTTATTCCACACACACATATATATATGTGTTTTAAAATGTGAAAATATGAATTATGTGCTTATTTTCCTTGTTCCACATATATCCAATAATGGAATAATCATCACTATCACATATAAATACGACAAAAATTTCCTTATTTGCAAGTATCAAAGTATAGTTAAAAATTAGCTATGATAGTACTAGATTATTCAAATTTGACTGGCAAAATGTTTAAACAAATAACATTAAATTTAAAGTTAATGTTAATATTTTAAACGAGTTAAATTTGAATTGTATAAACTTGACATTAATAATTATAATGTTCAATTTTCACTTTCTTCACATCTAACTAATCATCAAAATTATTTTTTTATCCTCTGAATCTCTCCATTTTCCTCCCTACAGTTCTAAAGCACACGAGCGACACACCAATGCACTCGTGACTCACTTATAAACTATTTGAGTCCCATTCTAAGAGAACATGGCTTCTTCTTCCCCTCTCTTACGTTCTCAGTTCGGAGGTGCCAACTGGAGCTGCTCGTGCATGGCCCCTTCTATGCCTTAAAGTCCATTGTACACATGCTTTGGCAATCGTGGTCTAGCAATAGCAATCAAGGGCTGAGCCCTGGGCATAGTCATTCCATAAACTTCTCTCGTGTCTATATCTTGAGGATTCAAACCCCTTGGTGGAGTCCAATCAAAGCAATGAAAGAGTCTGGCCAAAGCCATCAAAACCAAAGTCACTCCAAGGGGAGCACCAGGACACTTACGCTTTCCAGCACTAAAAGGTAGAATCTTGAAGTCAACCCCATGACTAATCTCAACCCTACTTCCATTAGTTGTCCAATGCCTCTCAGGTCTAAACTCCTCCACGTTGTCCCAAATCTTGGTGTTGCGACCCAAACCATGAGTGTTAATGAAGACACGTGTCTTCGCAGGTATATGGTACCCATTTATGGTAGTCGCACGAAGTGATTCGTGTGGAATAAGGAATGGTCCTGCTGGGTGCATGCGAAATGTTTCACGTACAACACATCGTAAGTAATTTAGATGGGGCAGATCAGATTCTACCACCATTCTATTTGGACCAACTACGCTGTCAAGTTCTTGTTGGATTTTCTGGAGAACATGTGGATGTTTGATTACCTCTGCCATTGCCCATTCGTTGGTAACGGCTGAAGTGTCTGTTGCGGCAGCTATCATGTCCTACACAACATTGTTCATCATTGTTTTCACAATTGAAAATATATATAAAAAATATTTAATCTTATTCATTTGTCTTATGTGTTTATAAATAAACGATAAAAAAGAACACTAAAAAAAAAGTCAGTACCTGAATCAAAGCTTTGATTTCTACATCATCCATATGGTCTTTTCCATCTTCACCTGGCAAAGATAGTAAAATGTCCACAAAGTCCATATCTCCATCGCTTTCCTCTCTTATCCCCTTCCTATCTTTCCTAGCCTTTCTATGCTCTTCAATTATTTTGGAATGAAAATCATCCACTCGTTTTTCCACTTCCCTCATTTTCTTTTCACACCCATAGGGATCCACCCACCTCCACATTGGTAAGTAGTCACCTAAATATATCACACCCAACAACCAAAACAACTCATGGGTTATGTGCATGAACTCCACAGCCTCTTGTGGGCCGGCAGATTCAGACCCAAAATATTGTTTTCCCAACAACATTCTAGTCACATTGTTCATTGAGAAAGCACCCAAAACCTCCCTTAAGTTAATGGGCTTTTCTGCTTGGGCCCAACCCAATACATCCTTGACAAGGTGTTGGGCTTCATCTTCACGATGTTTTGAAAAGGATTCAAGCCTCTTTGTTGTTAACAAGTGTTCCATGCAAATTCTTCTCATACGCTTCCAATGAGGGCCTAGAGGGGCTAAGGCAACATCACCACATCCATATGCTAAATGAACAGCGGCAAGAGTATGTGGGCGAGAGGCAAAAACATCATCTTGGCACAGAAGTATTTCACGTATGATATCAGGATCATTAGTAGTGATGGCATCTATGTTGCCCAATTTTAGATAAACTAAGGGTCCATATTTGTCACATAAAGATGCCAAGTCTCTATGTGGAAGCTGCCCTAATTGAAGGAGGTTACCAACAATTGGCCACCTTGGCGGGCCAGGAGGAAGCTCCTTGTTCTTGTGCGAAGAAAGAAACCTTCCTTTGAGCCAATGTTGAATGATTTTAGAAGCTAGTGCTGCAAAGAATAAGGTTGAAATAAATGTTGCCAAAACCATTTTCTAATATCAATTGCTTGATCTAAACCAAGCAAACTCGGAGTTTTTCAAGCTCACCTGTGGTTTGCAATGGTCTTAATATGCATTTTGCAACCATTAGGTAGAATGCTTGACATGTTTTCAAATTTGATTTGAATCCTTTTTATATCATATTCAAGACTAAATGGATGAAACTGATTTTTTTTAATCTTTTGTATAGTTTAATAATTCATAATCTTTATGTTTCCTACACTCTTTCTTTGTTATTTTATTTTATTTCTTTTTCTTGTTGAAAATATCAATTTTATATTGATGCACAGAGAAAGGGGTAGTACATCGTCATACGCATGATGATTGTTTACAAGTTTTTCTTATTACAGACACAGATTTTGCATTTCTCCTACCTCGATTTTTGCATATAATTACGATGTGCGTGATCTCTTAATTAGGTAATGAAATCATATATTTTGATAACTTTAGGTGATAAACTCTGTTAAAACCATGCTGGCAACAATCAAGAACCGACCAACCATATATACCAGTTGTGGTTTAATGCGTGGACAATTTGAACTCTAAATCACAATTTCAGAATTTGAATGAGAATGACTTTTGTGGCCTGCTTGTTAACTCTTTTACAAAGTAGTTATCAATTTTTAAAAGCAATACAATAAAAGTTGTTTGATACGTTCAGATTTTGAATTTTTTTAAATAATATATTTTTTTTGTTTTACATCTAAGATTTGTGAATAAGTAAAAGTTGGTTTAATTTTCTATTCTCGATCTCGCATTTTGGACTTGTTGAACAGCCACTCCACCTGACCTCCACAATATGTTGCTAATGCAAAATATTTGTATAATACAGATTTTATTTAAGCCATTATGTAATGCATTCCGACACATCCTAAGTTATACATTTTTTTTCGGTTACATGATGATAATAAAGTAAAAGAGAGAGCTATAATCTCAAATAAGATACACTCACTATATCTGTTAATCACAAGAGACACCGCTTCAGGAGAATCACTCTGACAACTGTCATTTTTAATGTTGTCAGAAACAAAGAGCAGCATAACAGCCACAAACAACCAAGCAAAACATGAACAACTAACTGGTTCAAAATACTATGATAGGGTGATATACTGCCTACACCATTGACACTTCCCAAAATTGAATTCAATCTCATTGATTAACATAGTATGAGAAGACGATATTAAACAAAAATTCGCACTCTGGTTTGTAGCCAAAATAGGCAACTTCGGATAGAAGCGAGAGTGAAGAAAAACAAGGGCATGCAAGTGAGAGTGAAACTAGTTGCTTCGATCATAAATCGCTGTGAAGGTCATGGTAGCATAAGAGCTCACAGTTCCGGATGATGATGACTCGTCTGGCTTCCCTGAACCAACCAACAAAGATGTTCTATCCACTTCAGCCTTGCCTTTTTGTTTCCCTTCATTTGTGGCTTCCACAAATTCAAATATCATCCCTGGTTTTGTCATATTCTCCTCGCTCACATCTTTTTCACCTAAAAGCATGTCAAGAACAGTGGACATAGAAGGCCGGAACTGAGGAGAATCCTGTGTGCAAAGGAGACCAATCTTACAAAACCTTACTGCCTCCTCAATATTGAAGTCCCCATCTAGAAAAGCATCCACTAATCTTTCGAGTTCTCTTCCCTCATACAAATCCCATGCCTGCAAGACACATTAACTTATCATTTGTTTGTTAATTGTTTGAGGTCATTCACTTAACCATCATGAACAATAGTATCCTAATTTCATTTTGCAATTCAAATCCAAGATATATGAGAAGGGATCTATTTGCAGTTTGCGGGAATAGGACTTTGCTCTTTGATACTCAAATCGTTCTCAGGGAAAGTGTGTCTGACGCTCTACAAATTTTACACTACAAGAGCTCATTTTCTTTGGATGACATAGCAATATTTGCAAAAGAAAGGTCCTTACTGCTTACCCTTGTAAGAAGGTAATGTTCTTCAACAGGTAAACGTCTGTTTGTGTTGGGCCTCCCACTAACAATTTCTAATAGCAGAACTCCAAAACTATAGACATCGGATTTTCTTGTCACTTGATTTCTTATTGCATACTCAGGTGCCAAATAACCACTACAAAGCCAAACAGGGAGCATGGTAGGAAGGAAAATAAAAGAAAAGCTAACTTGAAAATTCCAAAATCAGAAATTCCCTGATATGAACAAATTATAAACAATTGAAGACAGGGTGGTTAACTTACGCTGTTCCAGCAACACGTGTACTAATATGGGTAAGATTTGGTGGAATAAGCTTTGCAAGGCCAAAATCTGAAATTTTGGGATGGAGGTGTTGGTCTAATAGTACATTGCTTGCTTTTATGTCTCTGTGAATAATTTGTGGCTGAACCTCCTCATGAAGGAATGCAAGGCCCCGGGCAACACCTATGCAAATGTTCCTCCTTACATGCCAGCTGAATTGGATGCTACTATTGCCTGCACCTATAAACTCATCATTAGGATCGTTTGAACACATTCATACCTCACGATAAAAATAATTTACTTACCAAGAAGTGTTTGTGCTAGGCTGTTATTCTCAAGATATCCATACACCAAAATCCTGTGGTTGTCTTCCACACAGCACCCATACAACTTAACTAGATTCTCATGCTCTATACTAGTGATCACCTTGATTTCTGTCAAGAACTCGCGAACCCCTTGTCTCGATTCTGCTGATAAAACCTTTATAGCTGCCAGAGAACCATCTCTCAGCTTTCCCTGTAAATATTTATCATTAACTAAAAGAAGACAATAGAAAGAAACACAACCAGATCTTTCAAAGGGCTAAGAATTCTTTGCAAATTCTAAATGATACCTTATAGACAGATCCAAAACCTCCCTGCCCTATCTTGTTTGCGAGACTAAAACCTTCAGTGGCAATTCGCAATTCCTTGTAAGTGTAAATATTTACATTCTGAATTTCTGAAATATCTGTTGCAGCATAGCCATATACATATTAACATATCATACGAAGATACGAAGATTGGACCCATGCTTCCTTTGAAAACTAAAAGTAATAGATTAGTGTAACAGCCTCACCGAACCAACCCTCCTTTCAAAAAGAAAAGTTCAATTAATAACAATAACAGAATCATGAGAATGATTCTAGTACACAATCAAAAGGAGTGATTAGATTAAGCTCGTTGTTTATGGAAATACAAACCAGAACAATTCAATTGAGTAATAATTTCACAAAGCAAAAAATCATTCATGCCACACTGACTTCAATATCAAAGTATACCTATATCAACTCCCGTCAAGCGTGTGGCTGAGGAAGACCCTTTCTTTCTGAAAAGATGAAAGCAACAAGTCATCAGAGTAACCTTGCAGCTCCTATTGATCAAACCCAGTGCTGTAAAATAGATAATTCAGAATCAACTTGAAATCATCACAAAACATAACTCTCAACAGCTTGCAAACCCATTCTCACAATTACAACTCACGTGGTTAGCAAAACTAAAAAACTATACCTTCGAGAAAACGAAACTCTGGTTCAATTTTTCAACTACTCGAGAGCCACAGTCGTAGCAGGGGCTAGAAGAACTTCTGCTGTTGATAATATACAATTACACAAACATTTCCATACAAATATTAAGGTTTTGTTTAGAAAGACATATAAATATGAACTAAAGTAAAAACTATAATTAATAGCGTTAAATAATAGGTAGTTTTAGTATTGAATAACGTTCAACTGAAAAAGTAATATTTGAATATTAGATATTCTTACGGGCACGCAAATGAAAGTCAAACTTTATGTTTCTTTTTTCATGAAAAGTCAATCCTGGCTTATTTCTTTGCTAAACAGTCTAAAATAGAATTTCACAGCCTTCACTTTATTCATCTGAAAGGGCGAAAGAATTGTGAAAGAAAATAGTACTTGAAATGACCAAAAGAGCACAATGGTAAGGTCCAAATATCTGCATTTCTGGAATAAGGGAAAGAAGAAGAGATAAAATGAAGAACAAGTTCACTTTCCTGAAGTCAAGTCTCCCCTTTTGTCATTTCAGAGAGAGAAACGGCCCTTGTTTCTTTTGTTAGACTTATGAATTTTTACAACACTTTTATTTCATTATAATTTTAGTGTTGATTTCATTTGTTAATCTATTTTATAGTAGGTCTAATTTCAAAATAAATAGAATATGATAGTATAATATATTTTAGTTTATAATTTTCATATACATTAAAGATATGACAGTTTATCATTTTCTTATTATATCTTAATTTATCTAATTTGTGTTTCTATCATTTTTTTTTATTTTTTTTATAAAATATTTAGTTTATTGCCCGTGAAATGCATAGATATATAATAGTTGATAATAATAATAATAATAATCAAAGCACAGATTGATGATAAAGGACAAGTAAGATTTATAAAATAATATGAAAAACAAAATGCATCTAAAAATATAAATTAAAATATAATTGATGTCAAGCTTCATATTTAGAATGCCTTCACTTCACCTCCGCCAGGCAGATGCTGCGGGTGTTCTGTTTCAGCATTTTTTTTTTAACCGTTATATAACCTTTAAAATTTGAAAAAAAAAAGTATATTTTAAATTTAAAAATGATTAAACAACTGTCGTTATAGATTTTAATATGATAAAGAAGGAGTTATTTAAAAATTGAAAATTGATAAATAATTATTAAAATAAGAACCGCTTAATAATTAAAAATCATTAAAATGATGGATTTGTAACAGGAGAAATTAAGAACGTAAAAAGAGTGCAATTAAGGAAGTGGGAAGCAATAACACATAGTATTGATAGGTTAATTTTCATTTTTGAGATTCAGTTTAAGTTGGACGCATGCTCATTGCTCAGTCACCCTCTCCCTAACAACTCCGTGTACGCGCGTGCCATGAACGAAGCCTCCACCATCACCATAGACCCCAACCTTGCGGGGTGTTCCATTCCATGAACCATGCCTTCTTCCCCGAAATCCTACTCATCCTACGCGCGCCAAGCCACGCCCTTCTCTTCACGCAGATCCACGCTCTTCATCGTTCTCTCCGCGCTTTTCCTCTTCGGAATCGTCGCGTTGCTGAGGCCGTTTGGAGGTTACCGGTGCGAGAGTCCTCGCCCACGATCGGTTCGGGTGGTGTGGGAGCACGCGCGTGGAAGCAATGAGGTTGGCGATAGGCACAAGGTGATGGGGTTTGTGGGTATTCAAACGGGGTTCGGATCCGTTGGGAGGAGAGAAGCGTTGAGAAAGACTTGGTTTCCCTCCGATCGCCAAGGCCTTCAACGGTATTCTTTCTCCACTCTCCCCCAATTATTATTATTATTATTAGGTATCCATAGTAAATGATCTTAGGAGGCGTTCAGAAAGAGCTTATGCAAATCGCTTGCTTTTATTTAGAGTTAAATTTCAAATTTTTTTTTTCTGGAGAAATTATTTAGCGAACGCAAATGTTAGTCTGTGATAGTACATGATCTTAGAGTGGTCATTAAAATTCATAAATGTAGAGAAATATGAGTCGGGTTTGTAATTGGAATATTTGTATTAGGGCGAGTACTTTACTTGATACTTTAATCCATGAGTCATGCTAAGTACTGCTCTGTATTTATCTATATCTGAATTTAGGTTGCAGTGAGTGAAGTTATTTCAAAGTGAGTTGTGTTTTGTTGGAGGGTTGGATATTTTGAGGGAAACTGGGTTTGAAAATGGTGCAAGTTAGTATTGTCATCTTTGATTATTTTCTGCTGCTTGCAGCTTGGAAGAAGCTACTGGGTTGGCTTTTAGGTTTATCATTGGTAGAACAAGTGATAAAGCAAAGATGTCTGCGCTTCAGAAGGAAGTAGCAGAGTATGATGATTTCATTAAGTTGGATATCCAAGAGGAGTACAGTAAGCTCCCATACAAAACGTGTGTGCTGAGAATGACTAAGTTTCTGCATTTCATCTGTAGCATGATGCTAAATTGAATATTCATTTAATACAGGTTAGCTTTCTTCAAGGCTGCTTATGCCCTTTTTGATGCTGAGTTTTATGTCAAAGCTGATGATGACATATATTTAAGGCCAGGTGACTAGATCTTTTATTGCTTCTATTGTGATGAAATACGTTGAAGGACTTTTTTTATGAGATTAAACTTTACACCTCTAATTAAAATTCATGCTTATATTTTCAATTTATTGTCAGATCGTCTATCATTACTATTGGCAAAAGAGCGATCTCACCCTCAAACTTACATAGGATGTATGAAAAAGGGACCTGTTTTCACTGATCCAAAACTCAAATGGTTAGTTCTGTTTTGATGAGTTTAGTGTATCTATGAGATTTTGGTTTGACTGTAGGATTAATTTCCCTACTCCACATTGTCAGCATGCCACATTTAATGTAGCACTCTTTTACCTTTTATTGTGACACTTCATTGCCACTTTTGTTTTAGGCCTTAAGTTATACCCTTTTCTTTTTTGGGTTGAAAATGCTAATGTAGTGTGCTATCTAGCCTCAATAGTCACCACTTTTGTTACATTCTAAGGCTTCAATTTATAACCAGCATGTCGATTAATTTGCTTATGGAATATGGAGTACTTAGTCCAATAAAATCTTGTAGGTATGAGCCACTGTCATTTTTACTTGGAAAGGAGTATTTTCTTCATGCTTATGGTCCGATATATGCTCTTTCTGCTGATGTCGTCTCAAGCTTGGTTGCTCTTAGAAATGACAGGCAAGTTTTCTTTCCTCCAGAGCTTGCATGGCCACATGACCTTCTGTAGACAGTAGGATATTTGTTGATGTTTATATATAGGACTTTTGTTCTTATGGGGGTATCCATGTTTAATGGTGTTTTGTTTTCTGTGTATTGCAGATCTGCTTTTTCTGTCTCATTTATTGGATTTTGTATATTTGTGTGCTTGGGTTGGATAGTATCTGTTCTTATCTCAATTAAGAAATAAAATAGTACTTGAGATATTGCCCTAAACTGTGCTTAGTCGTGTTCAATTGTCATTGTCATTGTCACTGGAGCTAATGGATTGAGAGCTATGCACTGATTGTTATACATACAATATAATACTTTATAGGTCATAAGATTTTAAAATTTATTTCACACTTCCCTCTTAATGGAAAGGGCCAAATTTTAAAATGGATTAATATGACAATACGAACCTTGTTCTACACCTACCCTCTTTCCCACTTCAATTTAGTGTTTGCATTGTTATACAGTTTCCGGATGTTCAGCAATGAAGATGTTACTATTGGAGCTTGGGTGCTTGCGATGAATGTCAATCATGAGAATAATCATGAACTGTGCGCTACAGACTGTACAGCCACATCTATTGCTGTGTGGGATATTCCGAAGTGTTCAGGTTGGTGTATCTCTTTGCACAGATATGTTATGGTATCAGTATAAGGGATGTTTAGTCAAAATGAAAGTTTTGTCATCCCTCCCCTTTCTCTCCAAAATTCTCCATCCAAAAGCATCCCCTAAAGGACATGTTTTTGTTAAACATCATTTTATTTGAAAGTAGAACAGATTGGGCTGCAAAAGCTTGCTGCATCAAAATAAACGGTCAAATGTGTATATCTGGCATCAGCTGTGTCGGTACAAAAGATTTAAGAATGATTTTACCCATGTCCGATGCTTTAATATGATCCATAAAATGGAAATCTGCCGTTGACGAGATTCTTTTATATGTAGACTTCAGTATGATTGAATCTTCAGCCAGCATGTAATTTCTTGTTAAAAGCATGTGTGTCCACACACACACACACACACACATACAGACTAAAGAAATTTTTTTTATCATTTTTGTTGGTCCAGAAAAAGATTTCATCTTAATGATCTGGTTGTCTATTTATAGGCCTATGTAATCCAGAAAAGAAAATGTTGGAACTCCATCAAAAGGAGACCTGCACTAAAAGCCCAACTCTGGAATCGGATGACGAATAGAATTTGTGGGTATATTATAAAGCAAAGTAAGCTCACAAGGTAGTAGAGGAATTGCTTGTTCATGTTATTTCTTACTGCCACGATATGCTGCCACTACCATTCTACTTTTGATTTTTCTATTTTTCCTTTCATCCTGTTAGACGACAGGTTGCTGTGTTTTATTTCTTTTTTTTTTCTCTCTCTGTCATATTCTTCCCTTTGTATACTAGGAGAGAGTAGCATTGAGCGATATGAAGGAGCTTCTTCAGGGAAGATATTTTATATAGATGAAAAAATAGATACACGTTACGGATGATGAGATCACGATATCATTGTTAATTGACTAATTTCCTGATTTTAATGTCATTCTTTATTGGGATTATACATATTCGGATTCATTTTGTACTTTTGAAAAATCGGAGTTTTGAATGAGTGTGCACCCTGTCGACCTAAAAAAACAAAAAATGAGTGTACACCCCTGCATGTGTTATACTCTATTACAATGTTAACGAATTCATCGTATATATTTATTCTTCTCTCTTCAGTTCAAGGATAAAAATCATATTAAACTTGAAAAAAAACAAGCGATAATTTTTTGGGAAGAAAAAAAATAGTATTGGAGCGACAAGACTTCTGATAAATTTAGAGCGTATTCTTGAGGCATCTAACAAAAATACGAACATTTTAGACAATTATATATGCTAGAGAATTGTATGAACTGTAAGATTGTAAACAGATGCCCGCCTTTTGATCCCTTTTTTTTTTTTTTTTGTTACGAGTTTTTTGATACTTAGAATTCGCAACATTGCTTTCTTCAAGTATTGCAATATCTAGTCACCCGTTGAATGAATCCAGGCAACGTATCAGTATTCAATTAGCTCCTATATAAATTTGATTTCGCATTGCCTTTTTCTTGTTTGGTTGTCTCATTTGCTTTCTTTTGCTAATCATTTTCTGCACTGAAAATTATCATTGGCTTCATTTGTTTATTTTAAAAGCTCTCTGCCCACTTGTCTAAAATAGAAGATAAACGTAGAGTGGAAAACTATTGGATTATGGAAGTCCAGGTAATCGCAAGTAAGAGTTTAATTATGGAAAGCCCAGGATATTTGGTTTTACCTATGCGATTACTAAATTTCTTTGTAATTTGTGTTTTCTCCCAATTGTCAATCACTTTTTTAATCTATTAGCACTCAATGAGAATGTAATTTCAACATTATTTTTCCAAATTATTACCTTCAGGTAACAACTAGGTAAAGCGTAGTCCAAATAAACTTATTAATTTAACAGCTAATTGAGAGTAACTAATTATGATTGATCTTCTAAAATTCCTGAACCTGGTTTATTTTATAGTTTTATTGAGGCAGTTGATTCCTAACACATTCATGAACAAATCCAATAAGAAAAGTAAACAAAAAATAATATTAAAATCCATCATACTTCTTAGTTATGAATTTAGCTACTGATAAACATGAATAAACCCACAATCATGACAAATACTCAACAAAGTTTCATAATTAAGAACTATATATTAGTTTTTAGTAAGATAGATTTGTGACTAAGGTAGAGGGGCTCTAAAGGAGAGAAAAGGATTGACTCTCAGAAGGCGTGTCCTTTCTGAGAAGCTCCGCATGTTTGTAGAACTTTATCGCTTCGGTGCAATATAGTTTGTTGGAATGTTGATGAGATTGAGCATGCTGATCTTGATTCCTCGTTTGGTTCGTATTGAGCACGGGCATGCTCATAGCTGCAAGGATGTGCAGATTTTCTACGTTGGTATGTCAAAAGTTGAACCACGCTCGGGTGTGCTCTACTCTTGAGCAAGTTAGAAGGTTAAAATTCCTAATTGTTTATGTACTTGTCCTCTTTTTTCTTTATCATTGTTCTTTTGGTCAAGATGGACTTTCTTGGTGTTAATTTTTTCAATTTAAGCTACTTTTTGTACCAAAAGTCATCCTTGGCTCTATTTCTCCAATTCTACAAGATTTAAGGCGAAATGGATAAAAACAAAATATATACTTAATAAATAAACAGAAACTTTACTCTATTTCTCATAGAAATGATTATTGATTAGGTTCAATTCGATTTTTAGTACCTATGTAAGAATAAGAATACAACTAGATTAGAGGTGGATAAGCAAACTAGCCCACATCGTACCACACTGCTTAGCCTGTAGGTTAAGAAGCTTATCTATTAAAGCACACATTTTAAATGAGCTGAAGTATGTCATAACCTGCGAGCTAATTTTCTTATATAAACTTGACATTTTCATTCGATACCAGATGTCAAATGTAGTAACATGATACTTATAATAATTTTTTATAAAAAATAAAGTTTATCAGTATAACTATTCAGTTTAAAGTTGTTATAGCCATTGACAAAGCAAGAAAACAAGGTTCATAACAAGACAAACCTGTCATGGCATAACCTTATCTTTGCTTCGTTGATTTGCATGCTTTTGAGCCCTCCAAGCTTGAATGCTGCAAAATCAAACAAGAAGAAAACGAACACAGGATAAAGATGAAGAATTGAATAGAGATATCATTGATGAAAGAAATGTTTGTGGCTAAGTCAATGACCCAGATTTTATTTTTCAATCAAATAAAAGAGGGGAAAATTTTGGGTTGTGATTGATTCAAGTAATCAGTTGATGTTCATCCAATGCAATTGAATGGTGCTAATTGTTAACGGGTCTCTAATGATGGACCCATTATTGGGTTATGATAAGTCAACCATATTGGCCCATCGTCCTTTTAGAAGAATCACGCTCGAGGGACCCACACGTGACGTGACACGAAGCCTCTTTTCCTATTATATTAAGTTAATGAAAACTTATATATGTCGAGTTTCATTCTTACAATGTAAATATTTAGGTTGTGATCTAAATGTTATAATAAATTTATATACAAATTTTAAAACGCTTGTAATATAAATATTTACATTTGTACGATAATTGTTAAAATGATTAAGAAAAGTAAAAAATATATAAATGTTGAAGTACAATATTAAATTTAATCCATATACAATAAATATTTATATGAATTTAATCATTTTAATTTTATTTTCAAAAGATAAAAAAAAAAACTCCACAATATCTTCACACATCTTTATGAAGAAAAGATAGTAAGGCTAGAATTAGATTTATAAAAAAACTTGTAACTCTTATTTAATATTTGTCTTTTTCTTTCGCTTTTGTCATTATAAAGTAATGTCTGCATTGTCTATTTCATAAAAATGGAAAAGAAAGAATAAAAATTTCATTTGATCCTTCACTAAATATGAAAATTTAACATTTTTAATAATAAAATAGTATATTAATTCTTTTTAATAATACATTAAAACTTTTAAAAACCAAGTGAGCTTCTACATATTGATTTAAACTATGATATGAATCATCATTTATTTTCGGTTTATTTATATAAATTTTGTTATGTAGATGGTATAAAGAGTATTACATTATTAATGAGATGTGATTTTTATTTATTCGTCTTACCTAAATTAAACTAAAGTATTTATATATGACTGAATGAATAATAAATTGGCATTTACCCAAAACAAATATTTGTGACAAACTTTTATATGCTAAGTATACGTTTAACCAAGCACGTTGTAGTCTTTGGATAAAATTTATCATTTAAAATATTCTTATACTTTGCCATTTAAATACCATGTAAAACAATAATATATAGATATCTTTAAACTAATTAATACATTTTAATAGAAGTTGTTTATTTTTTAAAAACAAAATCAAAGGTCATTGTTTGATTACGAACTTGATGAAAATATATAAAATAGAAAAGAAAAAACTCTTAATTTATATTTTAAAAGATGAATATATCGTTTAGTAGATTTTCTAAAAATACTTTATATCAAATTGATTGATATCGTAATAATTTTTTAAAAATTAATTTAGATAGTAATATTAACTTATATATTTAGAAGACTAATTTAATGATAAATTAAATTTTTTAAAAATTAATTTAAGATAATTTTTTTTGAATATTTAATACAATAATGATTTAAATCTTAATAAAAGATTAATTAGATGATTTAAATTTTTAGAAAATTATTTAATAATACTATCATCTTTAGAATATTAGTTTTATGTTTTTTGAATAAAAAAAAAATGTTAACATAGGGAAAAGAATCTTGAGAAATGACATTAATGGAGATGAATTTTCTTGTTTTCAAGTGGTGTTGATAGAATAATTGGAGTCATAAGATGTCCTTTTCACACATTTATTTTTCTTCTTTCTGGTCTAAGTATGCTGCATTTTCCAGTACCAATGATCACTTCTCTTCATTCCTAATGGGCATCACGTGCCATTGCAGTTCCTCAATTCCATCAACCTTCAGTTCAAAAACAAAAGGGTTGAGAGGTAAGAGAGAGAAAAAGTAGGTTATCCCAATTTCATATACAAGAATTAATGATAGCTGTACCCTGACACATTTTGCTCATTGATCTACCACTTTTCAATCTTTATTATATTTATATATGCCAAACCCAAAACAACTACAGAAGTAGATAGCATCTCTATGAAAATCATAATAACGACATAAATTCAAAGCATGCAAATAAATCTAGTCAGGGATAAAAACAATGACTAATGACTGAACACAGGGATCACAACAGGACAAAAGAGACCTTCTATTGAAGAAAACTGATCAACCCCATTCTTTGCTAGTCCAAGAATCCTATGTAGAATGCCCTCATTTTAAGTTTAGCATAAAAGGAAAGACACCCACTTCTTCATAATTACATTGACAAGTGTCATATACATGTTTTGACACAAAATCAGTGCCCCCCCAAAACCAAGTAGATTCCCCAAACATCTCATGACTGAACTCTTATCCACAGTTTTTCCCCTTATTTTAAATGTTAACCAGTTCATTTGTCCCAAAAGCAAATATTAAAAAATATTGTATTTATATTTTTAGTAAATATAAGTGTTCATTATGATGTATTAATTAATAGACCCTGAATTATTTTTATGATGAACAGAACAAAATTAAATAAGTGGAGTTGCTGAGGAATTTACGCAGGTTAATAAACAAGTAACGATACATTGTTCTTATAGTAGTGCAATGTAAGGGTTAGGATTGTGGTAGATGATATATTCATCCTTAGTGCCAAGAGACATCAGACAAGGGACCAAAAGAACAAGACATGAAATCCTAAATGTCTATGTCTATCGATTGTCTGTTGCAATCATCATCGTTCTGGGCAACCCCGTTTCCAGTTCAATTAGTTAACAACATACAAGGTTCAAGGTTTCTAGTTAACTACATATTGCTCGATTATCAAACTAACACTCTATTAAGAAAGAGCAAGGAATGTTCACGATTAAATTTTTATTAAAAATCACAATAATTATGTATTTAATAATATATATCTTCTCTTTTAATTTTTTAACCAATGCTTTTCTCATCCTGATTAACATTTACTGTATTTTTTTTATAAAAATATTTATAATATATGCTCAAGAGACATAATAAAAATTTTATTAGTAATATTTTTTATTAATATATGTAGTATTTAGTATTATTAATATATTATATTTTATAATATGTAGCAGTTAATGCATGTTAAAATACTCATAGTCCTAATGTAAAACACTGTAATGAGAATGGTAAACAATTGTACTCAAGATTTTAGTGTCCAGATTTTTTTAAAATAATTTATTCCGTACTATAAATATAATAATTCATAGTTTCTTCAAAGAAAACATTCCAAGTTCCGGTGTGTACTCACATGGCCTTTTATCCTCTTGGAAATCACTGAGTTTCAATACAAAATGCTCAAAATTTCTAATGCCATCGGTGGTTTCTAATTAATCATGTTGATTTGGTTAATACATAAACTAGAATAATAATAATAAAATATTAAAAATAGGTCACATACAACGTAAAATTTTCATTATAATTTAAAAAATTAAATATATCTAAATATTTTTTATGAATAAAATATATCAATTAATAAAAAATACTATAAAAATAAAAAATAAAAAATATATCAAATCTCAAATATAGTAAATATTTTATTTTTTTTATAAAAATTGATATATCATATAAAAATATCTTATGCATAAATTAAGATAGTTATATATATTAAAATATAATAAAATATTAATATTAATATTAATAAAAATATAATATATTTTTTATTAGTAAAAATAAGTGTGTTATAAAAATAAAATTGAGTTATAATATGATTTTTTTCTCAACTAAACTTGATGTTGTATATTCTTTTAAAAATTATAATCGATTAAATTACATATTTAGTTCATATAACTTAAACATTTATAAATTAGTTTTATAATAGCAAAATTATATTTTAATGCTTATATAAGTATTTTGTTATATTTTAATTTATGTTATTATTTAATCTCTTTTATGTTGATGATATCATAATAACAATAATTAAAATAAAATAAAACACTTGTTTATGAACTAAAATATATATTTTTTTAAATATATAATATAATTTGTAAATAAATATTAACGATAAAAATTAAGTATATATTTTAAATAAGTTTGTGTCAATGCAAGGATAAAATAATAAAAACCCTTTAATTGAACTATCTTTTTTGGCATGATTTCTACGAAAATGACGATAGGAGAAAGAAATATGTGTGCTTAGATATAAGAATTGAGGAGGATAAGAAATGCTTGAAATGGTGCCTTTATTAAGAGAGAAAAAACACTTGAGAAAAGGATTTTACAATGTCAAAGCTGACTCACCTAAGGATTTTTGACTTCCCTTCAACTTTCACATGCCCTATCACATGTTCCTACATCTCCATGACAAATTCCTCTTATCCACTAACATTTTTTGAGTCTTGGTGAGAGGAGTGAGGGTTTGGGATCATCACCTGTATATACAGAAATAATCCTGTTAGAGAAAATATAATATATATATTCTTTCCTTCAGCATGATGTATCTTATTTAAGAATAAATTTGGCTATGTTTTTCCACAAATTTATTGAATAATTATTTTACTACTTAATAAAGTAACTACTACTTTAATTAAAAAATAATAATAATTAGAAAATATTTTAAATTATTCTTTAAAGAAAGAGAGGATTCAAAACTGAGAAAAGGTACTATAAACTGATAAAATCTCCTTCATAACACTACATCACTAGTTTTCCCTACAATAGATCTCATTCATTCATGTCATGACCCATAATTTGTGAGCGCAACAAAAAGTTCGAACCTTTAGGAGTTTTTGGGACTGAGGAAAGTAATATCACTGCCTCTGTGACAAATAAGAACAAAAGATTAAAACTAAATTAATGCAAGCACCACTGATTCATGCACAAGCACAACTGGGGACAAAAATTATGCATCAAAGTTATGATGAAATTTCAAACCCTTCTTTCTTTGTCACAAAGCCCAATATTTCCTCTCTCTCATGAGATATAAATGCTGGATCTGACACCCATGATTGTTGGGTATGCAATATAACCCTCAAAAGCTCAAATTGACCGTACCTTAAGCAGAGAGGTTTCAAAATCCTAGACATTCTAAATTTGCATAAACTTCTCTAATTCATTTCTCTCACGTGCAGGGACGAGCAGTTGAAGGAGGATTATCAAACTCTTTCTCTTCCTCTTCCTAATCTGTGGGCAAAACCCAAAAAGCAAGGTAGAAAGAGGATTAGCTTCTCTAAATCCAACTTGGTTTTTGGACAATTCTAAAAGAATCTGTTAAAATATTTATTTTATAAATTAATTAATTATTTTAACTTTTCAAAACATCAACAAATTACAAACTACTGTAGACTAGGTTTGGATGTCATGGAATGTGGTGATAATCACCGATGAAATGAGATATTCTATTGATAATGTTTTAGATTATTGTTTTCTTTTCTTTTAATTAAAATATTTCTGAAAAGTAAAATCTTTTTGCAATATTTTATTAACAAATTACTATGCTCTAATCAGTGCATTATGACAACTGACAGGTTTTTGGAGACAAGGCTACAAATAGCTTTTTTTAAGGTTGCAACAAAGACGTTTACAATTTATGTTGTTTTCTATGTTTGGGAGCTGGGCACTGTGATCAATGAAAAGGAGCCTTTGAATGGCAAAAGCGCAAAAGTTTACCATTGCATCATCATTGAACTGCTTTTCTTAAAAAGGGACTCGTGAGATTTTGAAGGACACCGGCAATGAATGAATTCCACCACCATTTTTAAATTACAAAACTTTGTATCATTAAAATTCTTTCATTCTAATGTTGGGCTCCTAAATACAGGAGTAACTGATCAATTTTAAATCAGTAAGACCAATTTATATAAAACTACTAAAGGAGAGCATACTATTTTTTTTTCTGACATGCTATCTCTTCATGATGTTCTCTACATGCCAATTTTTTTTGCAATTTAATTTATGTTAATAAGCTTGTAAATTCTTTGAATTGTATTCTCACCATTGATAAGTGTTCCTATGTAATTCAGTAAAAAAATACCTCTATAAATTAAAATTAATAATTTAATTGTGAAAATATGAAAACTGAGAAACACAAACTCCGTGAGTCTCAAATATTTATCCTGATTTCTCATTAATCTAAGAGATGACAGTTTAGTTGTCCTTTCATGTCTCTGTAAAAGTGATTAGCTTTAACTAAATGCCATCAATTTGAAGTTTTGAACAGTGACATCGAATACATAAAGTAAGACAGATTATCCAGGAATTCAAGTTTTATTAACTCACCGAAAGTTATGTATTTGACAAGGTTCGTGCAAGGTTTTGACCATTGCTCGTCAATTTAGGACAAAGTAAGATCTATACCGAATCATATCCATCTTCACTGGAGTGCCAAGACAATTTCTTGGTTTTGTCATTTTGGTCCATGGAAAAAGGCCTTTTATTGTGATCCCTTCCACCTCTTTATATCCATTGTCAAAGCTAGTGGTTATAAAAATAAATTTTGTATATATCTTATATGTTTGGTTATACATCAAAATATATAAACAAGAGCACGAATAAGAGCAAAAGAAACATTAAAAACAGCATCAATACAAAAGAGCATGAATATTTACGGTTGAGTGGGGGTTGTGAGTGTCCATTTGTGAAGTAATCTTAAAATTAATAATTTAATAGCATAAATGAATACTTTTGGTGCTTTTATATATAAACATGAGATTAAGGAAGGAGGTGGGTGGGGTCTAATGAGTTGTGGAATTCTTATAACGGTGCCAAATGTCATAAATTGCTTCTAGCGATGCGCAATGATCCATACACAAATTTGAGTCCACGGACCCCATCATAATCATACCATCAAATTTTGGAGTAGGTCAACCTGTAGTGGTGCTGTCTTGATGTCCTTATCCTAATATTATTAGTATGATAAATATATCATTGAGAAACGAAACAACACGTGTAAGCAATAACTTTGGCTGAACTTTTTATATATTAACAATTAATGGTTATTTATTATGAGTAAGAGCAAGATAATAATATATTATTATCATTCTTATCACAATGCCCCAAGTAGATGCTTTCTCAGGGTCTAGTTCAATGAACCTTCCCTGGCTAGCTAGCAAGATCACTTAATGAAGAAGAACAGAAACACCGAGTCAAGTTACAGCATGTGTTAATTTGTGTAGCCCCTTAATCACAATGTATTATTGCTCTCTAATAACCTCCTAATTCTACTCAATAATTTGGAATCAAATGGTATACTTGGTGGTTAATAAGAGACCAAATGCTTTAACCATATTTCTACAAGTAATGAAATTCTAAGATTCAATCGTCCCTGGCTAAGCTTTAATGTGATCAAAACTAACAATATCATTTTTTTAGATAATTAGATCTTGGAAAGTGACTTTAATTACATATTAAATTATTCAATAATCAATTACGCTAGTATTCCTCTTATAAATTATTATATTATTAAAAAAAACTATAACTTTTTTAACCATTCTTTCAAAATCTAAAGTGTACTTTAATTAATTAATAATATAAAAATTTCACATTAAAAATTTATTAAAACCAATCACGTAGATTATTTTTGTTTATTTTTCATAAATTTATTTAATTCATCTTTCTAATTTATATGATTATAAAAAATATGACTTCAATATACAAATAAAGTTTAAATTTACAAAAATATAATTATAAAGGGCTTTTACGTAAAAATTAAAACAAAAATTGATATTTAAGTATAGGAATGAAAATTTTCATTGATAAGAATATTAAATTATTCTAAGAATAGCTTTGATAAAAAAAAATTTAAATAATTTTTTATAAATATTAAATTTTATTAATTCAACCATTATATTAAAAAATATTTTTAAATAGAGTAAGTTTATAAAAAATATTAATAATTTTATTTTAATATTTAATATATATTTTTAAAATATAAATAATTATTGATTGTAAAATGTTATATATATATATATATATATATATATATATATTTGATAGTTGAATTAATAAAATTTAATATTTACAAAAAGTTATTAAGTAAAGTAACTTTTATCACATTTACTTAAAAGTAACTTTGATCTCAGCTCATTTTTATTTAAATTATTTATAATTTTAGAAAATTTGATTTTAAAATTATTATTATTATTATTATTTTAGAATAACTTTTACACATCATATTAAAATTTTATGGCTCAATTAAAGCCCTAAGCACATGTATTTAAGAGTAAATAATGAAAATAATAATAACATTATTTTTCTTGTATAAATCACACTTTTATAAAATCAAATCTCACATAAATCACTCAAAAGTTTGGCCTACTCTAACTTCACCTGCAAGTCTATTATATTATACAAACATTTTTGCTTTTTTACATTATCGTGTATATTCAACGTGCAAATTGTAATAAGTTCAAGATTTTAAATGAATAAACAAATATATAATTCTAAAATAATAATATTTATTAATCATATTTACTTAAATATTCCTGTTAACTTGTTTAGTAAGTACAATAATTTATATTAATAATTAAGTAAACTTATTTATACTAAGCGCTATAAAATTAAACATTTGCAAATGTTATTTTAATAATGTGTTTCAACATCTATATTTATATTTATATTTATATGTAAAATTGACTGCTACTATTTTTTACTATATATATTTATATCAAATTTTATTATTATAAAGATTTAAAATATTTAGAATAAGTTATATTATCAATGATATAAATATTATATTATTAAAAGTAAAATATTACTTTCACTTACTTATTATTATATATATTTATAATAAAAATTATAATTATTAAAATTTAAAATATTTAAATTTATTTATATGATTAATAATATAGATAGTTAAAACAAATGTTGTAATGTCAAGAACGAAAATAACATATTGACTATGAATTATATTTAATAATCATTTATTAAAATTAATTATAATATTTTACATAACGTAAAAATTAAAATTATTATTGATTTATAATTATTATCTTTAAATTTTATTTAAAAAAATTCTATTAAAATTAATTTTATATAAAAATTTTATATGAATAATTATACGCTTTTAAAAAAGATAATAATAAATTTGTTATAAGTGATATTTAATAAAAAAATTATTTAAATTTATTAAATATTAAAAATGAAATAAATTTTATTATTAAATATTAAAAAAATAAAATAAATATTAATTAAATTACTTTAAAAAAAACACATATCACTTGAAAAATGAAATTGAATCTTATATTCAAACTTGAATGTACTAATTTAAATAATTATTTTATATTATATATTATTAAATTATTATTTTATTTTATAAATTATTAAATTATATTTATGATAAAAAGATAAATAAATTATAATATAAATAATTTTTTTATTACACATAACTTTTAAACTTTTTAAAAGTTCTTTCTATTAATTTACTTTGTTTTTGTATTTTATAATTATATTAATGTTAAAAGTTATCTATTTAATTAAACACATATATTATTAATATTAATATTTTGATTTTCTTTTTATTAAATTATATTCATATATTTTATTTTAATTTATTGAATAAGTATAAAACTGCATTATTTTTAAGTGATATCATGTATGAAATTTTATTTTTAATTTATTAAATTATATCAAATCCATCAATATTTTTTTAACTAAATTAATTTACAATAGTATAAATTTATATTATCTAAAATTATATATAGAGTTGACATATCATATATGTCATCTTTTAAAATTTATAAATAAAAATATTTATAAATAATTATAAAAAATAATATAATCTCATGTAATAAATATATTTTTTTAAAAAATTTTAAACATACTAATAATAAATAAAATATAAAATTGTTAAATTTTGATTAATTTTATAGCACTCATAAAATATTTTTATAATTAAATTTAATTAAAATATATAAATCAATGTATATAAAATTAACTACACCTACTTATTACTTTATACATTTAGAACAAAATTTATACTTATTAAACTTTAGAATACTCAAAATTACATAGAATATTTGTAATACTAATAATCAGTATGGATAATTAGACATGTTAAAAATAGAACAACAAATTAATCATAAATTGCATTTAACAAAAATTTATTGAAAACTTTAGAATACTTAAAGTCACGTACAATTCTAGTCACACATATTATCAATATGGATGTTGGTGTATATTAAAAAAAAAAATAACAAATTAACTATAAATTATATTTAATAAAAAATTATTAACATTAATTATAATGTTTCACATATCTTAGAAATTTAAATTATAATTAATTTATAATTATTATATTTGAATTATATTTAAAAAATATTAAAATTAATTATATATAAAAAATTTACATTGATAGTTATATAATGAAAATAACAAATTAACAATAAATTGTATTTAATAAAAAAATATTAAATTTAATTATATAAAAAAGTGAAAAAGCTCACCATAAAAGTTGAAGATGAAAAAAAATACTTAAAATCATACAAAATAATTTCAGGATAAATTAATGAACTTCTTAAGTTACTATTTTATTAAAAATAAAATTATATAAATTATTTTAGGTCTTATTCAAATTTAAATGGTATTGACTTAAATAAATTTGTTAATTATTTTAATATATTTAGCATTTAAAAGTGTGAATTCAAAATTAAAATATATTTGAAATAAAAAAATTATATACTCACAAAATTATAGTTTTGTATTGTATATTATTAAATTATTTTTATGATAAAAAGATAATATTTATTAAATTAATTTTTCATCTTGTGATATATTACTAAATATATCTTTGTCTTTACCTATATAACAAGTAATTATTATATAACTCTTTAAAACTTGCTAACAATTTTTTATATCATGTTACTTTGTATTTGTGTATTACAATAATATAAATTTTCAAGAGTCATTTATTCAAACAAGTATATACATATACACACACATATATATATATATATATATATATATATATATTCATATATTTTATTTTGTTACAGTGAATTATAAAAAAATATTTTTTATTTATTGAGTAAACATAAAATTACATTATTTTAAAGTGATATCATATATTATATTTTATTTTTATCTAATTAAATTTATGTCAAGTATGTATTATAGGTGATTTTTTAATTTTTATATCTAGATCAACAAAAATTTATGTAAATGTTGAAATATCAATCATTACTCATTTGATATTCATTTAGGTATAGAAATTATATTAATTTTTTCTATTATGGTAAATATTGATAATATTTTTAATTTTCTTTTTTTAATTAAATTTTTAATTGTTCATTGTTATTTTAACATTGAAATTTAAATTATATATATATGATATTTTGATTATGACAAAATGAAATAGTGATATGATAAGTTATTATTATTTTTCTTATTCATCCTTTAACTAAAATTATTTATTAATTAAATTTTAAGAGTGTTGTTGTTTGTTTATAAGTGTTACATTAGTAGTTATAACTTTAAATTTTAGATTAAAAGTAATTAATTATAATAACTAAAATAAATTAAATAATATTAAATATCATTATAATAAAAAGGTAATATACAAATTTGTTATTAAAATGTTTTTGTAATTGTTAGATTTTTATATTTAATATTTTTATACTATAATAAATGAATAAATACATATATTATAGTATTTTAAATATAAATTAAGTTTGAATGTTATATTTATATTATATTTATATAATTTATTTTATTAGTGAATCAGATTGCTTCAACTTTTTAATATTTCTTTCACATTTTAAATATTTATTTTACAATAATGGAAAAAATTTACAATCAAATTTACATTTTATATTTATTTATTAATATTTTATATTCTAATTATGTAATTATTAAAAAATTTTGAGATTAAAATTGAATTTGAAATGCTTTTAATTTTTTTTAGAGTATTCAATCATGTAATGGACTTACAATTTATTCTCTAATTATAAATTAAATTATACATAAAATATAAAGTAAGATAAATAAATATTTTTGTATTGATATAATTATTTACGATATCATATTCTTAAAATTAATATTAATTAAAAAGTTAAAAAAATATTTTAAATTAAAATAATTAGTCATTAGAATATATTTATTTATTATAAGTCAAATTTAAATATGTTATTTTAAAGTCATAAATTAATAATTGTATACATAATTTATCAAATAAATTTATGTTAATATTTATTTAAATTTTTGAAAAATAAAAATTAAATTTCATACAAATGAATCTTACTTGAGTATAATACTAAACTCCATTTTTTATTAAAAAATATTTTTTTTTATATTTCTACTCATTGTTATATATTTTTTCTTCATGTATTTTAATTTTTATTTCTTTTTACTTTATTTTTAAAAAATTTACTTCTTATGTTTACATCAACTAAAAAATTTAATTTTGATTATTTTTTATTATTAAAGAGGATAAAAAAATATAAAAAAGTTTATATATAAAAATTTATTTATCATATTTTTCAATATAATTATATTTAATATTACTTAATATAATAAAATTTTATTATTAGATATTTTTATATTTAAATTATAATTTTTAGTTTATTTTAAAATAAAATAATTTAATAAAAATATAAATAAATTTATATAACACACAAATATATTTTCTAATTTATAATTAAATTATTATTAAAATTTAGAATGTTTAAAATTACATATAAATTAAATTTAACTATTAAATTTATTTTTTATATATAATTTATCTACAAAATAATCAAAATTTTTATTTTATATTTTTCAGTCACATTAAAAATTATAATTATTTTAAAACTAAATTAACTAATAAAAATTATAAATATATTTGTACAAATCTGTACAACGCAGAGTATATTTTTTAGTTTAATATTATTTTTTATTACAAAAAATTACTGTGATACAAATTTAATTTAAATTAAAACTAATATTCAAAATACTTATACATTGTACATAAATTTTATTTTTTACATTATTGTTTAGATTCAACGGTCAATCAAGAACGTACTGCTTTGTGCTAACTTTGATCACATGCTCTCGAGAAATATTTGGATTTTTTAATCCCTCACTATAATATAAACTTTTAAACATTTGATAAATTTTTTTATTAACGGCTTATTTAATGAAATTTTATACTAATAATTTTGAGCGATGTCCAATTTATTAAACTTAAGAGTCTCTACTATTGACAAATTGATGAAATTAAAGTTAAAAAAAATTGTGTGAGACTTATTAAAAAAAATGATACAAAATTATAGTTTTAGGGCAAAACTTGTTTGCGCGTTTGAGCATTAGCAGATTGAATGCAAATAATCTTTATACTACTCAGTCTAACAAAAAAGCAAGAAGGACAAAAAATTATGTTCTTTATTTAACTATATATACAAATGATTAACTATATAAATCATAATAATATAATACTTAGTTATATCTATTTATTTAACTAAGATATTAATAACTGAAAATATTATTAAAAATTGAATAACATTATTTAAAATAATAATAAATATTTAAAAATGAAGTGAAACATTAAAATAAGATACAACAGAAGATGGAAAGAGTAATTAACAAGTACAAGTGTAAAGTGAAAGGTAAAAGTGACATATGAATGTGAAACTTTGGCTTTGGCTCCAACCGCAAGCGCGAAAGAGAGTTGCAGAATGCATATTGATTCTCACTTATCTCAATTGACAGTAGGTTATTTGTTTTTTTCTCACCATCAAAACCCAAAAACAAGTAAAGCAAATTACCAAGGTAAAAAGTTTAACAGAAAGGAAATAACTTTTATTTTCTATATTTAATAATTTTAGTTTATTCTTTTTTTCTATATTTCATTTTTATCTTTATTTTTTTAGTTTCATCCATATTAAGCTAGTAATAACTATTTTTAATTAAAAATTTAAGTAGTTTTTATTAAAGGTGACATTTTTTGTGAAATATACTGATTCTTTACTAAATGCTGTTTATTTTAATTTTTTTATAATTTTAAGATTAGAATGACCATTATTTAGTATTAAAAATTAGGTTCAACAAAGTTAAAAGTGTAATTTTCAATTTTAGAAAATAAGTTTAAATAATCATTAATAATAAAATTTATTAAAATTATACTTTTAAAATGTGTTTGTAAATGTTCTTAATTCTTAAATAAAGAAATTATTAAATGAATTACATATTTTTAAAATAAAAAAATCATGTATTTTTTGTATAATATAATGTAATGTTTGAATCTAATTAGCTTTTAACAATTAAAGTTTTAAAATTAGAACCTTTTATTTTAATTTATTAAATAGCTAAAGAAATTTAATAAATCATAAATAATAAATAAAGTAAAAAGCTAGTGTTGTGAAAATCCGTGTTAATTAATGAGATTGTAATTTTGCAGAAGTGATTATAGATACGAGAGAGGAGTTAATAGAAAAAAAGAAAAAAGAGTGATAATTGAGAAAGAGAAAGAGAAAGAAGATAGGAGAGAGAGAAAAGAAGCTGTCTCGTGAAGAGCAGGTGAAGCTGAACCAAAAGAAAATAAAAGCTTTGCTCTTTTTCTTTCTTTCTTCTTTCTCTCTCTAAGAAATCTCTTCTAAGAGCACTCACATTCATTCCTTGCTTCCTCCTTTTATATCACGAGATCCCCATCACTTTCTTTCTTCTTCTTCTTCCAAGTTCATATTTGTGGCATTGACGCTGATAGAGTGAGAGGGAGAAAATAAATTAAATTAAAACACAGAGAGAGTCCCAAAATAGAAAGAGAGAGTTTTTAAGATACTCTTTTCTGTTTGTTTTGGCTATCAGCAAAAATGTCACGTTCTGATAAACCCATTCCCGAGTTAGGGCTCAGCGATCGCTTCCGTGACTCACTGAGTTGTTCTGAAGCGAACAAACCCGATTTCCGAGAACTCGATCTGGGTTCACCTGTTTCTCCATTGCGTGCTCGTCACCATAGTGCAGCCACTACCAGTAGTAGCAGCAGCAGTAGCGGTTCATCCGGGTCGGGTCGAGCCGGTAACAACCCGGTTTCTAAGAGATCCGATTCCGGCGAGCTCTCCGGCTCCAGTGATACTAACAGTCCCACCCGGACATCCAAACCGGGTCATCGGAGATCCGATTCGGGTCAGAGCCAGAGATCCCCTTCCTCCGCCGCTGTGAACTCGCCGCCGCTGAATGTTCTTCCTGCCGGGAACATTTGCCCTTCCGGCAGGGTTCTCAAGGCAGTGCCGGTAGCGGCTGTGTCAAGCCGGAGCTCCAGGACCGACATTTTGGGCTCCGGCACAGGGAATTACGGCCACGGAAGCATAATGCGGGGCGGCAGAGGTGGCGGGAGCAACACCAGTGAGGCAGCGAGGGTGAGGGTTAGCGGGGGTTGCGGCGATTTGATGAAGCGTGTGGATCCGGAAGAGGTGAAGAGAGCAGGAAATGAAGAGTATAAGAGAGGGCACTTTGCGGAGGCGCTGTGCCTTTATGATCGGGCAATTGCGCTGTCTCCGGGCAATGCTGCGTACCGCAGTAACCGTGCTGCCGCATTGATCGGTTTGGGACGGCTGCCGGAGGCGGTGAGGGCGTGTGAGGAGGCGGTAGAGTTGGATCGTACCTATGGAAGGGCGCATCAGCGTTTGGCGACTCTCTTTCTCAGGTGAATTAGCGTGCTTGGAGGAGGGTTTGCGAACTTGAGTTTAAATGATTTTGAATTAAGAATGAATTTGATGTGGTAAAGCAAGTTTGGCAACTTTTTGTCTTAGGTGAATTTAATAATTAAGAGTTAATTTGGAGTTAAATTAGTGAGTTACAGCAATGTTAGATTAGATACCATTTTGTTATTTCTTTTGGATTTGTTGCTTCATACTGTATATGGTATGTTATTGATATGAAAATTGTGTTGTGAATAAAATCTGGAATGTGGACAGGTTAGGAGTAGTTGAGAATGCTAGGAAGCACCTTTGTTATTCTGGGCTGAAGCCAGATCCTTGTGAGTTGCACAAGTTACAAATAGTGGAAAAGCATATTAGCAAATGTGTGGATGTACGGAGGATAAGAGATTGGAAGAGTGTACTTAGGGAAGCTGATGCTGCTGTTGCTACGGGAGTGGATTCTTGTGTTCAGGTATTTATTTATTTATTTTAATTTTTTGATCATATGTGAGTTGAATATGTTATTGTGGTGCGAAATGTGTGAAAAATGTCTGAACTGGTTGGAAATTGAATTTACAGCTCTTTATGTGTAGAGCAGAAGCCCTTCTCAGGCTCCACCAGATGGATGATGCCGAATCAAGTTTATTACATATTCCCAAATGTGAGCCGCATCCTGTTTCCTTATCGCAGGCCAGATTTTTTGGGATGCTTTCTGAAGCTTATTGCTACTTTGTTAAAGCTCAGATTGAGATGGCTTTTGGAAGGTGAGTTCAGAAATTGTAAGCTTGATCAGAAATCTAAGCTGGCAAAAGGTATCTGTTGGAGAGTGAGAATGGATGATGGATGTGTTGCAGGTTTGAGAATGCAGTTACAGCTGCTGAGCAAGCTAGTCAGATTGACCCCCGAAACATTGAAGTTGCTGTTTTGCTCAACAATGTAAGGATGGTGGCTAGAGCTCGATTGCGTGGCAATGATCTCTTTAAATCAGAAAGGTTCACTGAAGCGTGCTTGGCATATGGAGAAGGTTTGAGGCTAGACCCTTCAAACTCTGTTCTCTATTGCAATAGAGCAGCATGTTTTTTTAAGCTTGGGCAATGGGAAAAATCAATTGAAGACTGCAATCAAGCTTTACTCATCCAACCAAACTACACAAAAGCCATTCTTCGGAAGGCTGCTTCAAATAGCAAGGTAAATTGCCATTTTATTTTCTTTGATACTGTACATTGTCATACTCAAGGTAAGTGGTGTCATCTCTTACCTTATTATGCAGCTAGAAAGGTGGGCAGAAGCAGTAAACGATTACGAGCTCTTGCGGAGAGAACTACCAGATGACAATGAAGTTGCTGAAGCACTGTTTCATGCGCAAGTAGCATTAAAGAAGTCTCGTGGGGAAGAAGTACATAATTTAAAGTTTGGTGGTGAAGTGGAGGACATATCAGGTCTTGAGCAGTTTAGAGCTGCAATATCTTTACCAGGTAATCATAATGGATAAGGAAAGGTTGCTGCTACTCATTTTACAACCCGGTTATTTTGCAAATCTTCTAATATTATCTGTAATTTTACAGGTGTTTCTGTTGTTCATTTTGAAACCGCATCCAACTTGCAATGCAAGCAAATATCACCCTTTGTGGATACGCTGTGTAGTCGCCATCCATCTATAAATTTCCTCAAGGTAGCTCACTTCACACATTGTGTTTTCAACTTGCCTTGATATTTTCAATTTAGAGGTAAAAGAAACCATCGTGGTAGTTTTCTTATGCATTAGAATTTTGTGTTTGATTAAAGGTGGATATTCAACAAAGCCCAACAGTCGCTACTGCTGAGAATGTGAGCATTGTACCGACATTCAAGATCTACAAAAATGGCTGTCGAGTGAAGGAAATTGTATGTCCTAGTCGTGAAATGTTGGAACACTCCGTTAGGCATTACAGCTTGTAGAACTCATGACCTTGTACTGCTTCTCCATTCTATATACTGCATTTCCATCCTGCCACTTGACATGCAGTGAGACTCTTCACAGTTCATCCAGTCTTGTGCTCCCACCTTAAAATGATCTCCTGATACCTGTTGTCATATTCACATCAACCACATAATAATCTTGTTAGCAGCCAGTTCCAACGGAACCCAGGACATAAACTAGTTCCTTTTGCTGTTGTTATTTATTCATTCATTCCTAATTTCTTTCTGGTTCCATGTTCCTCCAACTTTCCCTTTGTCATTTTTCTTTTCTCTTATTTTTCACTTCATGTAGACCAGCTGTTATTGTATCCCCAGTTTCTTTATGGGTGAAAAAAAAAGAGATTTTTGTGTCTGTAATTGACTAAATTGTCACTTTATATTACCTTTTGGACAGACAAGGGAGAGGAGGTTGGTCTGCTGTTAGAGGAGGATCCTGTACATGTATATATGTGTTGATTACGTACCAAACACTGGAAGCCTTAAAGGGGGATAGGATGACTGTTGGGTACCTAATGGGTTGGTGAAATGAGGGTGAATTTGTTGTTATTGTTATTATTTTTCTATCTTAGCCATTTGATCAATAAAATTTCCCATTTTTTCTGCCGTTCTCAGATTATCATAACCTTTCTGATTTCTATGTACTTTGAATTAATGTACAGTGATAACTGTCTTGAGAATGAATTGTCATTTATGCAATTGGGCAGAGTCATGAAAAGATGACTTGGTCTTGAGATTGGGAAGCAAGCTGTTATGGCATTTAAGTTCATAGCTGGCTTTTTATGTCAATTTTGACACTAAAAGGCAAAGTACTTGTGTTTTAAGTCAAGGCTGGTTTTGTTATGGAGTAGGGTGGACATGGGTGGTTGATACAATTCAGAACTCTTATATTTTTATCACTCCCCTTTATAATGGAAATGGAAGGTGGACCACCAAATCATATTTAACACCTCAATCTTGATAGAATATACTTACTAAGATGAAACTTCGGAAGCACAAGAGTAAAACTTTTGAGAGAGAGACTTAGAAGAAGGTGGGGGGTTATGTCCACGTGGGCATTTAAGATGATGCTCACAAACGGAGCACTCAACCTTCCCAAAAGACTCCAAAAAAGTCGCTTGGTATGCTGCTCTGTATGTTAACTGTAGTATAGGAGGTGATGACTAGTCTCCCCACATTGGTGGGCCTTACACAAGGAACAGTCTTCAATTCTCCCATAACCCTAACTTAAAGGGTGCATGAATGCTCCTAGTCTTGCAAGGCGTTAATTCGTGGCCCTTCAGAAAGATCATGACATCCAAAATGAGAATTGTAGGGCTAAGTGACCAATGTATATAATTAACTTGTGTTGAAGGTAGGGTGCTTTTAACCTACCTTACCATCAATTTCAAAGTTCAATATGCGTGTCAAGGTAAGCCATGGGACTAGTAACAAGTATAATAAAATAAAGGTTTCATCACACTCCATCACCAATCGGTGGTAATAGCAATTCAACCCCAGGTTGAAATGTGTTAGTTAGTATGTCAAACAAATACTTTTTAATTTTTAAGACACTTTCTATTATTTACTGAAATTAATGAAAAAATGAACTTATGCGCCTTCCACTCTTATGCAATGACTTCTAAACACGATTCCATGAATTTCAATAGAATTCAATAAATAATGAAGAATAAATTGAAAACTATATTGCTAGCTTAGGTGAAAGAGATTGGGAAAATATTTAGTGTGAAAACAAAACTTGAATTCCAATCCCAATAAGAGGGGGAAATCAGGGTGAATTGTTGTGGTAACTGATTAGTGATTGAGAAAGGACTTAGCAGTGTTACGCAATATGTGGACAATTGTCTCTCAAGTCAGAAAGCGCGTGTAGGAGTGTCCAACCGTCAAAACCACCGGCATTCACATATGAAATGGCCCACAATGTGCGTTGTGAAGGAAAATCATGAAAGAGAAACAACGGGAAGAGAAAAGTGAGTCCCAAGTCTATGCTGTGTTTATTTCCATTGAATGAATGGCACAGTACGATGGTACTTTCTAGATTGTACAATAGCATCATGAAATGGCATACTCAAGGTTATTACACAATAAAAATATAGCCGTTGAGACTGTGACCCAATTTGCATTCGGTAGCAGGCTTTCAAGAGGGAGTTGCTCCTGTCGTTTAGTTATTATAGTTTGAACTATGGACGTCATGTTTTTGAGTCTTTCTCTTGGCATGCATATGTCTTTCGTCTTCCAAAAATAAAAATGCTAATGGTTTGTTCATGTAAATTCTGTAGCTTGTTGGACTTTTGCCTAAAACATGACGTCATGTTAGGGAAATATATAATTTGTTTTTGGCAGAACCATGGGAAGAAGTAATGATAACGACCAGGCCCAATGATAAATACATGGAAGTACAAGTTATCAATTCGTAGACCGAAAGAAAAATGTTTAGATTTACCTCTACTGTTTAACATTATTTTTTCTAAGTTAATAAACTCTTAAGACTAAATTTAAGCATTAAAAAAAATTTATTGACAAATAACATTTATTATATTAAAGTTATGAAAAATATAATAAATATTTCACTTCTCAATAAAAATTTTAACCAGAGTTAACATTTTTCTTATTTTGCAATTCATTACTTGTATTTTCTAACTGTACCATTACTTCACTTTCTCCTAACCTTCAGGAAGAAAATAAAGGATTCAATGTCAGTGCCCTTACTAAGTCAGGATAACAGCTTTAAACAACTATTAATGCCGTATTGATTTACAGGAAGAATACAAAATTTCATACTTTAGTAAAATAAATAATTGTGACATCTTAATTACATACTACAATTCAAAATCAATTCTATCAAAATCAACTTTATTGAATTTTAAAACAACGAAGCTTGGTAAAACGTTTGCTACCCTCATACCATATTGGAAGAAACAAATATCTCCACTGCCTGAATTGGATGGAATTTGCTCGACAATGGAATACAACTCTTGCTCAAAGCCGTGGCTTTCTAAAAATAAAATGGAATCCGTGTAATAAGCACAACCGATGTGGACCATCTAAAGTTCTGCTACTTGTAACGTTTTGAACCACAATTATCGTCTGCTAAAGCCCGTATATTACTTTTTAACTTCTCATTGACAAGACGTAAGAAACAAAATAAGAGAGATATTTATAACGGTAGCAGTACGTAGGTGTAGACGCTTAGACTCTCGTAAAAAATTAAAACTCCTCTTAAATAAGAAAAGCCTAAAAAATGCACTAGTGCAAATACACACCCCATCGCTGATTTAATTAAAATAGCTTGTAGACTTGACCTACTTTAATGGAAAGATAAATACAATACCAGCTGTGCGAGTCCACAGCTTATTCAGAAGAGGCTTTGTTGAGAGACTAGAGTTTTTAGGAAATATAGGACCTAAGACCAATGCTATTTTGGTTTCATAACCAAACATGTCTCAGAACGGCTCATTGAAATGAAGAGAACAGACTTTTTCACAAATTTTGGCCTTTGATGTTGAAAATCAAAATTACTTAGCAGTTTAAGATTGAAGCACATTCTAAATTGTTAGAAAGATATGATCAACGCATATTCATACAAGTTTCAAGATAAGGCAGCTTCCAAGAGAAGAAATTAACAGGTAACTGGAAGCTACGAGGGATATTGACTCCAATAGTTCAGATTTCCAATATAAATTGACGGCTACCATTGTTATTTGGATCCATAAGTTTGAACCCAATCATCAGGCACCACTAGCATATAATCGGGTCCATTCCTTAGCTGCAGTGTTCAACGCCACATTTTAATAAGAGAATATGTAGTATGTTTGATGCCATTATTATTAACTTTTTTTAATGTACAAATCATACACAGAAAAACTACCTGTCTCAACAGCCTCGGCTTCGTTAGATTTCCAATGCTTGGCAATGTTCTCAGAAAGTGGATCATCTGGGTTTGGTGCACTCAAAAGAGCTTGGATGCTGGAAAATGCCAACAAGTCCACATTATTAGTACGCAATACTCTTTTCAATTACGAGCAGGTTAATTGAAGTTCTCATTGAATTCCACCCCCACCCTCCCCCACATGATTTAAAAAAAAAAAAAAAACAATGATTCAGGCAAACATAAAAATGAGCCAGAAGTACAAAGACCACAAATAATTCTTCATCTATTTTCCGAAGGAAATTTTACCGAACAATATGAAAAAATTTTCCACACTAGCAGGGTGATTAAAATAATTTAAAACATGTTTGTTTTCCAGACTTGCAGCTTTCTTACATGCATAACCGTGATTTTCTATATATGTATCACCACGTTTTAGACAAGCTCAACAATAATAATCTCAAGACGGTTGTAAAGCCAAGAACTATTAGCCCATCCCACTTCTTCAGGATAAACAGGTCCAAGAAAATATGAACATCCAATAGCAAAAGATAACAAGTAAAGATACCTCAATAGAACAGTGCGTATCTGAAGGGCAGGACTCCACTTATCTTTCAGAATATCAAGACATATCCTGCCAAGCTAAATCAAACAAGAACTTATCAATGTCAGAGAAAAATAACTACTGGAGAACAAATGAGAATTTAGTGGAAGAAAAATGCACCTTATCAATGTTTGGATGATATATTTTTGTTAGAAACCTAACCTGCAAAAAGCAATGCACATTTGAAACCATTGAAAAGGTATCAAAGCCAATAAAATAGGAGGAAACTGAACATTTCACACATGATTTTGAGGTAGTGTTAAACTCAAGAGTAAGCACACTAAATTATGTATTTAATTATTTATCACTGGAAACAATCCGCTTTAGGCCAGAATTACAGACTAAAGTGCAGAGCATAAACAACACATGGTTCCCCACTGACAAGGAGTCTCCTGTATTCAGCACACAACAAAACTATCCAATGAATAACCACTCCCAAGCCCCATAAATATAAAGCATAATGCACTACCTGTCACACCATTCTATAACTGCATATAAGACACAAATAATATTCAAAAATATTAATTCAGATCCATGGCTACCTAAACAACAACCTAAAGACACAATTTCTACACAAACAATAATAATTCAGGCCTATTGAGTCTCGGTTTGCTTCTTATTTCTTCTCACATAACTTTCCAAGGTCATAGCTCCATCGGGTAGAGATACGTAATAAAAGATTCCTCAAAAGGTAAGGAGGAGACTCAAGTGAGCCACCTTGGACGATTCAAATCCCAACTAGATACACAGAAAAGATGTAAGATACACACCACCATTTCCTAGACTATGAAATTAGTTGTGGCCTCAATATGCTAATGGAGGTGCATGCCACCCATAATTTAATATGCTAAGTAGCCAGTTCTATATTCTCAAGGAATCATGCAACTAACAACAGTACCTCAGACCAGTGTAGTTAGTATCGCAAGAATTGAGATGCGATTCAACAACTTAGCAATATGGAGTTTCGGTTGGGTGCTTGAATCGCACCATGTATCGCTGAATCCATTATCAAATCACATGAATCTCAGTTCTGATAAGAATCGGACAATTCTGCAGCAAACCGGGTCATGACAGAAACAGGTTGGGTCAAATGGACCTGATTTTGAAAACCATGAAAAAAAATTTCATTTTTTTTTTTCGAAAAAAGCCTGTACCAATGACAGAAGATGTCGATACTTTCCCTCCAATTTTACGCAGTATGTTAAACATGATATTAAGAGCAAAAAAGCTCTATTTCAGTTTCTTCTCTTCTTCCCTGAGGGCCCTAACAATACATGTCTGTGTGTTGGCCTGTTGGGTGTTTTCTCTCTACTCTTCTATTGCTTTTGTTTTGTTCTTATTTCCTCACTACACTAGCTGATATCCTACGGTTAGTGGTCCTTTACCCTATTTCTTATTCTGTGCTGTGTGTGCAGGTTTGTGGTTCACTCTGTTTTGCTGCTCTGTTTTCCAGTGGTCCCCCTCTCTCTGCTCTGTTTGGCTGGTCTAGTCCCTTTTTTCTTGTATTGGCTGCTCTAAAGAGGAAGAACTTTTGATTTTGGAAGATGAAGATGATGAACTAAGTGACATAGATCTTGGAGATGATGAATGATCATACATTATCCATTTGAACTTTTGCTATAATGACTTGCTGCCTTTTTTGTTTATCTTTTTAAAAGGCTATAGGTTGAATTTGACCAGTCACTGTTTTTTCCTTGTTAATACGACTGACTGTTATGATTTGAATCCTAGCTTGCTTATAAGTGTATGTCACATTTTTAGTTATACATTATTTGACTTCAAAATGTTAATATATAGATGTTTTGTTGTTTCTTTATGTTACAATGCTCTTATATTTGTGTTTTAAATTATTAATCTTGATCTTTGATTCAACATACAATTCGATTCACGATTCAAAAAATAGGTCTTATGATTCACAATTCAAATCCCTATTTAACTACCTTGCCTCAGACCAAAGGAAATAGAACATCATAACACCACAACTTATGGAGGTACGATTTCTATTGAAAGGAAATAAAAACGATGTTAAATTATTCATAACAGTTCCAATTTCTTACTGTACCAGTTTCAATAAGGAAATGGGTGGAGGAAAAGACAGTATAGAGCAGAAACCCATTGAATTACTTGCATAGAGATATTACCCTATTTAATATAAAATACCAAAAACTACTGAATAAAAACAGTTGTTGAACATCTTATACTATGACTATAACCATTTATACTGCTAACACTGTTTTATTATTTAGTTTCATTTCTTTTTGGTGTACACGAATTCAGCAGAAACTTTACACTAAAAGAATACCAGTGCCATTGGAAAGAATAATATAAATAAGTACCTTTGGAGCAGCCATTGGATATTCTTCAGGCAAGAATAGTTCTAACTTGAAAACTCCTCCTAGTAATACCAACAACAAAATATGTAAATTAGAAAGAAAGCATGAAGGAAGAGCAAATTTGAAAAAAAAAAAATGGAATTACAAATATCACCACCATCACCATATTATAAGACAATAACAGTATATTCCTGCACTCTCAAACACAGAATCAAGAAGGACCTAACATCTGATCTAAGAAAGCATTTCCATCTGATATAAGAAAAAACTTAATGCTTTCCTTCAATGTTGCAAATGTAACTACCATACTCAGAATCAAGGCAATTCAAAGAAAACAACCCATCCTCAACAGGTAACCCACAATTCCAAAATCCTTTCACTTTTATATTATTTTGACAGGGAAAATAATTCAGAAATTCAAGATCCTGTAAATATAATCCAGCATAGTAACACATATTGAATAGGCAGGAAAAAGTTCTACTAAACCTTGCATTCTATTATGTTTAAACCTCTAACAAATTCAAAAGAAATGCAAGATTTCAAATGGAGCAAAATCACCATGAGCATATAAGAATAACTAATTATTACGATGTACAGGAGAGACCCTTTCTGAAAAACCAAGCTTGTAAGTTGAGAGTCTCGACTACAAATTTGAGTGTTCTTCACCTCACCCAGTCAATTGAGGAGACGTGCTCCTGCATCATATACCAGCTGCATGTTGCATTTCTTCTTTATACCCAGTTAGTAAACCCCTGACCACTTTGGAGCTTAAAACCTACTTTAGAGTTGAAGTTAAAATAAAAGCTTTAATTTGAAGTTAAATCTGTTTGGTAATGCATTTTTAACAGATTTTGGATGCTTTTCTAAAAAATCCTTTTCTCAATTCTATTTGACCCAGTTTCTTCTGTTAAGAAGAAAAGCACAAAATAAGATGGGGGCAAACACTACCTCATAATACAGTGACTACTTTAATAAGACAAGCCGTCAAAAGAGTATAAGTCAGTTTCATAATTCTAACCATGCCTTTAAGGTATAGTGCATGACTAAAACCTGGTCTCAATTCTCCAAAGTGGAAATCAACCAGAATACAGTTTTCAATGACATACAAAACATAAGAGTACACCCACTAATCCTTTTACATTATATTTATATCTTTTATCTTGTTTCCTTCTAACCAAGTATTATAATCTTTAACCTACAAAGTAAAGCACCGAGTGCAAAACAAACGATTTAAATCCAAAGGCAAGAACAAATTGAAACTAAATATTATATTTACATATTTTATTTTGTTTCTTTCTAACCAAGTATTGTAATCTACAACCTCTAAAGGCAAGCACTGGGTGCAAAAAGAACAATTTAGTTAAAGAAATCATGAAGAAATAAGCTTGCCATATTATTTGGTTAAAACTGTTTCGCTAAATTGATAACACGAACACTGTATATAAGCATGAATGATATTGAATCTAGTTTGGTAATTCGTGAAAAAGTGTACCACAGAACAGTTTCTTCAAGCATGAGAAAAGCACCCTATTGAAATTGACCATCTAGGTGGTAAGAAGAATAATATAAACAGTCAGAAGAATTATTAGGTCATTGCTAAAGAAAATTAAATAACGTCCCATCAAGACATTCAACTTCATAGACAACAGGAAGACTCAGATGTAACCTGCGGGAGGGGGTTTAAACACAAGGAAATACGACAATATACTGTTCAAAGAACTGGCAATTATAAACTAATACACCATCTAAACTCTAACGTCACAAAGAGTATGCCCAGAAATTAGAAAACTACCAGAAACCTTCTGTATTAGTAGGCCACAAGTAGAAAAATATCTTGCTTGATCTGGCACTTTCCAAACCCAAACCCAAACCCACATCCAAATATGATTTGATGTTTCAAATCTTGCTTGACTACGTTTTTATTTGAATCAAGTTTGACCATGAAGTGGGTTTGATGAGAAGTAACATTTACCAAATTCGCATTGGGGGTTTGGAGTATTAAAGAGAACAACATTACTTTTCTATTTTACATTCACTTTTCTATAAAGGTATCCAAAAATAAACCACTTCCCTCCACATTCTTTTCAACCAAATCAACTTTACAAAATCAAGATCATCTAAAATCAAGCTTGCAAATGCTCATCCAAACAAATACTAAGACAATCATCATACAATTATTCAATAAAATGTAAGAGAACAGAATTTTCGTGGCAAATGAGCATTCCCAAAGTACATTTGACTGTGGAACATCATTGTTTACGTGAATTCTTCATGTAGTTCCAAGCTACTAAAATACCCAAATCAAAAGGAAATTTATTCTACATTTATTGTTAAGTATAATTTAAACAGAGACAATATATTTCTGTGTATCTGAAGGCAGCATAATTATGCTATTAAACTCAATACTACCTTCATATGGTGACTGTGTCGGCCCAAGGATCATCACGTTGAAATATCGCATATTGTCTTCTGAAGGGGAGGCACTAATTCCAGGCGCTGCATCAGCAGATCATCATAATATCAGAGACTGAGACAATCAAGTAATAACCGAAATAAAAACACAAGGATAAAAGATTATAAACTTAGAATCATAATTTGGAATTTAAATCATCAAGGAAATGCTATTCAACATATCTAAACAAAGTTTTCAAAAATGGACATGCACTACCAGTTCAACTAAGAGCGGCTTCTAAATCACTAAAATCCATAGAGAGCAAATTTTCAAGTATCAAGTACAGCAACAGAAGAGAGAGTTCAAATAAGAAGTTACCTGGCTCACTGAGCAAACGCTGCGTTTCCTGTTGATTAAAAAAATGATCAAAACATTCCCAAAGGCCAAAATTCAAATACAAAATTTAGAAAAAACCAAAAGCATAGTTCATTTCCAATGAAGATCAAAAGCAAAAGGGTTGCTGAATCCCCAATTTTTAACACCTAAGACTCTTCAATTTTGTTTTCTTTTCCCTCTCTTATCGCAACTGAATTTAAGCAAGGGAAGAATGAAAGGGGAAATTTTGGAATTCAGCAAAAATTGATGGCACAGTTCGCTGAAAGCACGGTGTTCGGGCACGTAAAAGTGGCGAAGTAGGAAGAAGCAGAAAAAACATGAGTGGATTTGGAGTTTCCTTGGTTTCTTCAGAAATCAAACAAATGGATCAGAGAGATTAAATTGGGAGAAAACGGACCTTGATGATTCTTCGAGGGAGGTTGCTGTTGGCCATGATCGGTGTCGATTGCAAAGCGCGCAATAGGGTTTCTAGAGAGAGAGAGAGAGAGAGAGAGAGAGAGAGAGAGAGAGAGAGAGATTCTCTCACTGACAGAATGAACAATGCTGAGAGAGAAAGCTTCTAAAACTTCTTTATTTTCAATCTAATTTTATTTATTTGTAATAAAAGGAAAGAAATATATATAGGTAATTTTTTATTTTTTTTTTGCTATTATATAGGTAATTTCTTTAACACTCATTCTTCTACCTTTTTTATTATTCAATTTTCAAAATATTTTATAAAAAAATTAAGATCGTGGTATGCATTATATCACGTTAATTTAAATTTTTTTAAAAGTAAAATCACTTTTAAAAATTTATAATTTATTTCAACATTTATTCAATAATTTTTTAAATAATAATTTATATAACATAAATTTAATAATAAAAAATATTAAAATAAAATTAAAATAATTTATATAATAAAGTATATAAAAACTTATTAAAATAAATTTAAATAACTTATAGAAATCATACGTTATTTATAAATTTTTTTAAGCACGTTTATAAAATTATCAAATATGTTAACATAAATTATAAATTCTGCCATAATTTAGATAAATTTTTATTTATAAAAAAGAAAATAAATATAACAAATAATTTTTTTTTTCATAAATTAACGCAACTTATAAATATTTAATTTATACGAAGAAAAATTTAAAAAACGAGCTGCGTAAATAAAATTCAAGCTTGCTTATTTTAAGTGAGTCAAGTTACCGAATTTTAAATTTGGATGTTAAATTCAAGTTTGAGTAAAACGAGTAAAATAAACGACCTTTTACAAAGCTATTTTTATTAATAAAAAAAAACTAAAATATCTAACTCATATATTGTCAAAAAATTATCTTAAAAGTTACTTATTTCACAATAATTAACTTTGGAGATTTAGCGGCTTGTGTCCAAGATTAAGATGTTTCAAGAGATTAATATGTAAACTAAAGATCATTGCATGTTCTTCATGCAAGAGGGCTAAAAATATTGATATATTAAAACTATATTCATCGATATTTCTCAAATTGATTTTAGATTATTAGAACTCTTTCACATTCCTTTTCCAAAATTTATTTCTCAAATCGATAAAAAGATGTTTTTAACTTTATAAAAACAAGTATTAAACTGAGGACACCTACAATTTTAACAACTATGATTTGTTAACATGTGCAAACTGTGGGCCCATAGTGTAAAGCGTTGGTGCATGGGAGAGTTGTGGCTGGAAGCGACACAAATAACAAAAAGGTGATTCAAAGAAGTGATCAAATTAAATTTGCAATCACTAATGTAATCAGCATAATTTCGTATTGGAACATTACAATCTATTGCATAATTATCAAAACAATCTCTTTGGAATTTCTAGCTCAGCCATCGATACACACCCTTTTGGTGTGTGCAACTAAACTCATTATTTCTGACAAGGAAACAGAAAATAAATGAGAAGACAGAACCTCAAAATTAACCAGTGTTTTGCATCCCAGCAGCAATACCCTTCATGGTGAGAATGAGGGTGTCTTCCAAACCAGGGGCATATTCACTTGTTGGGTTCAGTGTTATAAGTTCATCAGCAGGTTTACTTATATCTCTAGACTCCTTAGAGATGTGAGGGCGCAGCTTCACATTATAATTTGGATCACGGATACGTTTCAAAGTGTAAACTTGGCACACATTAAGGGTAGTGATGTATGAATCACGCAGGCGAAGTCTTTGCTTCAAGTATGGATCTCCTTCAAGAAGATCCTTATGGCCAGCCACCTACCAGAACACAAGATAAAGGGAAAATCAGCTTCTGTAATAACTAATTAGTCTCTCATTCATAGGATATAGTTCAATCTTTATGAAAGAATTAACAGCTATTACATATACTACATCTACTATTTTTTCTAGGAACCATTTGGGAAGTTTACTTTAGTCCTTTTTATAAAACTCTCTACAATTGTCTATTGCATTAATTTTATTTTTACAAACAATCCTTAATTTAATGCGGTAGTAAATTGGTTTAGTTTACTTGACAATATAAATTGTTCTAAAAATAAAATGTGACATGGTAAAAGTAAATTTACCTGAAGGAGGAGTTTCTTAGTTTCTTCATACTTGGTCCTCAACTGCTCCCCAAATGGCCACAAATCTTTTGAAACAAGGAGTCTATCATAGAGAGCAGCTATCCCTGGGTCTCCTTTGGCAAACACCATTTCAACTAAATCAAGAGTGACTCTAAAGAAAGGCCATTGATTGTACATCTCTTGAAGCACATGAATATTCCTAACATCCTTCCCAATAACATGTTTGAATGCTGCTCCAAAGCCTAGCCACACTGGGAGATGAAACCTTGTTTGTGTCCATGCAAAGATCCAAGGTATAGCACGCAGTGTCTCTATGCCTCCACTTGGCTTTCTCTTTGCTGGTCGACTTCCAATGTTCATCCTTCCATACTCCAACTCTGGCGTAGCCTGCATTTGCATTTCACAGTGATTTTTAAATTTAAATGTCACCAGTTAAGAGACAAAATAAAAAGAAAAATAAGGGGGTGTTTAGTTCATCAAATCATTTTGTGAGTTCACTTTTCGTTTCTGAAACCGAACAAGCATAAGTATTTGATCTATATTGTAGGTAACTTACCAAGCGGAAGTACTCAACAAAACGTGGTTCTTTGAATACAATAGAACGGTACTCCTGAGTGGCAATGACAGCCATCTCATCCATCAGAGCACGCCATTCCGGTTTAGGGGAAATTGGGGGATGCATTCCATGTTCAAGAGTAGCTGCAGTGAAACGCTGAAGGGTCCTAAAACACAAGTGTTGCTCCCCAAATGACTGCTCAATGACTTCACCTTGCACGGTCACACGGAGTGATCCATGGATAGTGTCTGGAGGCTGAGACAAGATAGCAAGGTGAGTAGGACCGCCGCCTCTTCCAACGGTCCCTCCACGGCCATGAAACATTGTTAGCTTAACACCATATTGTTTGGCTACCTTTATAAGCTCTTCTTGAGCCTTGTATAGCTGCCACGCCGCAGAAAACCTTCCTGCATCTTTGCCTGAATCAGAATAGCCTATCATGACTTCTTGCTTCCCATTGATCCGGTTTCTATACCAATCTATTGAGAACAACCGTGCCAAAGCAGCAGGAGCAGACTCTAGATCAGCAAGCTTTTCAAACAATGGGACAACTCTTAATGGATGCTTAACGTGGCATTCGCGCTGTAGAAGTTCAACTGCAAGCACATCAGAAGGAGCTGTTGCCATTGATATAATGTATGCTCCAAAGTTGTCTGGTGGCAGTTCTGCTATCACATGAAATGTGTCCAAAACATCTCTGATTTCTTCAGTTTGTGGAAGATCAGGTCCAAAGAGGGGGCGCTTGCCGCTCAATTCAGCCAGAAGCCATTGCTGCCGCTTTTCCTCTGACCATTCCTGGTAAGATCCAATTTCCAAATGTTTGGTAATGGCATCTAACACGTCCGTGTGACGGTCTGACTCTTGCCTTATGTCAAGCCTCACTAATGACAGTCCAAAAGTGGAGACTTGCCTCAAGAAATCTAGAAGGCTGCCATCAGCAATTGCGCGATCCCCACAAGCACAGAGTGATCTATAGCAGAGTTCAAGAGGTTCCAAGAACTGGAAATTTTTTTAACTTTAGTTAGTATCTGTAAAGTAATCATATCTGTCGCAAAATTATTTTTAACATTTATTGTTTCCATTTACTACACTAAACTTGGAATAAATTAGTGTCTGTCAGCCTAAAGTTAACATGAAATGGAACTACTTTTCATACAGCATATCCCTGTTCTGTCTGTTTTATACTTTTTCACTGGCAACCAAATTTAGAACAAATTAACTAGTAATTAGTAATAGTTTAAATATTGATGAAATTTCAACAATGTAGACAAAAAAACTTTAAGAACAAAAAGTTGTAATACCATAGCTGGCCTTGAGATTTTCATAAACTACATAGTCTAACTTTGGAGGCAATAATTGCATAACATTGATGATTTGTAAACTGCTAAAGTCAGAAACTGTTAAAGTTAAACAAAGAATATACCTCTTCAACATTGGTGAAAGTTTCTTCCTCTGGAATGTCAGAGTACCCATGGGCGAGCAAATGACGCGATCGCTCACGAGTCTGGTAGAGCCTATCCCTTACTTCGCCAAGTACCACACGGTATGGTTCGTTTGGAGGAATGATTTTCCAAAATTCTGTATCATAAATTAAGTAGAGTATCAAAAGAGTGAATTGATCAACCTATTAATGATACAACCTTAAGTATATATAATAACTTCATTTTTACTAACTAAACTACAACACCTATACCGAGAATTTAAAGAAAGATTTTAGTAAACACCTATGTAGTGTTTTGCAACTGCATCTTTCTTGGAAGACCTGTTAAGTTCATCAGCGCGGACACGTAGCTCATCGTTGCAGCGCCACATTGACAGCTACAGAATCAATAAGGGAAATCAGTGCCAAAGCAATAAACCATCCACACTGATTATTTAAAAGATTGGGATATCTTTACTTACTTCAAACATAAGATCCTCTATCTGGGAATAATACAAATTAGCAGCCATCATTCTAGCCAATAAACAAACATCCCTGGTCACTTCAGGAGTTACTCTAGGATTGCCTGCATCATATTGAACACAGTTAGGCGCATATCATCTTCACTTTCAGAGAAGCTTAATAGATTCATGACATGGTTTATAAACTAAGTGAATTAGACACATATACTTGTCAAGGTTATTGAACCGCAATTCAAATTGTAAATCATGAATCCTATCAAATTGTAACTCAGACACAGGAAAAATAGTTTGATAAATATATAAATTATGTACAGTAGTTGACGGAATTATTTTAAACTAGAAAATGACTCTCAGTCCCATGAAACAAAATAGAGCAATGAAATAGCCAAATACAGTGCATAGAATGAGTGACAGTGTAAAACTCTTGTTTCAGAAGAATGAAAACAAAGCATTTGAATAGTCAAATATGGTGTTCAGTAGTGCTCCTTCAGTTCCTTTTCTTTAAATCATTAAAACTTACCAAACTTTTTAATATCTTTGATAGCAAATGGTGAAAGTAGAAAATGAAAAATAAGGAATTATTGAATCGTACAATTTGTATCGGTGACACAGAACCATCACCCCATTCATGTATCATAAGATTCGAAGCCATCTATGATTCATTAAATGATACAAATCATTGGCAATTTAAATTGTATCAAAACATGTGATTTGATTCATGAATCATAAGATTTTAATAACTACGATGATTGGCCTCCCTTATTTTTCATTAAACAATTACTTTGTTTGGAAATCAAATAGGATTTCATTGTAGCATTTTGAAGATAATTAGTGTATCCTTCCATATCCTTTTATACTGAGAAACATTATTGGTAAAAACTAAGAACCATACCATCACGATCTCCACCCATCCATGAAGAAAATTGAATGAGTGGAGCATTATAAGGGACACGTTCATTAATCCCTATGTTTTTCAAAGCTGTGTCAACACGACGCAGAAATGTGGGTACACCCTTCCAAATTGTTTCATGGAAGTAGCTCATCCCTGCTCTCATTTCATCTTGTGGAGTTGGAGGGGTCCTCCTGATTTCATCAGTACGGAAAGCAGCTTGGATCTACATAAACAGAAGCAACAAAAGATTTTTTTAAAAAACAAAGGCATTGATGTGATAGAAAACCATATTATGGATTAAGAAACATCTTAGCTTACAACTTGCAAGGTAGTGAAAATAATTTTAATAATATTTATCCTGTATGTGCACCTTCTATAATTAAATTATGGAAGAAATAATTCCCTCATTATTCTGAGATATTGAATAGATCAAATAGCATATAAAGTTTCAGTTGTGTGAAATTTGTATTCCTATATTTCCATCTATGGATTACACCAAGATACAGATAAGACCATGGAATAATTAAACTGAATTCAGGAGAAAAGTGGATACTTGTATACAGGTCTATGATGGCTTGGTAAAATAGATGTTCAAATTTTCCTCAGCATCTATTTTAATATGTGGTATTTGTTCAAAGAACTGAACACAAGAAAACACAATTGGCGGAAAAAAAAATGATATAATTATCATGGTTTAGAAACACATTAAACCAAGACCTAAGAGTTTTGATATTCACCTCCCTCTGTAGAGCTTCATCAAGTTCCTGCTTATCATCAGGAGTGATGTCTTTGGCATACAACTGAGTTAAACAATTTCTTATCCTATAAAGCAGAGGAACACATAAAAACATAAATTTCTTCACTTTAAAGTAAATCTATTCTTAAAGCAGCAGCAGCAGCAACAAAAAAATGATACATACCTTCCATGCTTTTGAAGCAAAGATCTACGAACTGATTGAGTAGGATGAGCAGTGAGAACCAGATCAACAGTCTGGTTTTTCAGTGCATCAAAAACTTCCTGAGGAGACTTCTTCATATCCACAACAAGTTTCTTAAGGGTTTCTTCAATGTCTGATTCAGTGGTAGCATTGTTCTCGTCCGCAAAATCCCCTTTCTTCAACTTGTTCCTTCGGCGGTGAGCGATTTGGACCTCTTCAGCTAAGTTGGCCAAGTTAAGCATATGGGAAAAGGACTTGGCCACAACAATTGAATCTCCAGCATCCAAACTAGTTATCAGATTTCCAAGTTCCTCCAGTTTCTTTGGATCATGCTTTCCTTCATACTCAGCAGAAAGCTCATATACCTCTTGAACCTGTGCAAGAACAAATTAATCATCACCACAAAACACGCAAACAGTTTTCCAGTTCATAATGCCTAAGAGAAAAATGCAAAGGCACATATAATCTGGTATATATAAATTTAAGCCAACTATAAAAGAATCAGCAGATCAAATTTTGGCCATCTATATTTCTTACTGCTGTTTTCATCTCACCAATTTTCTGTCTCCTGCTGAACCTTCTAGCACCAAGAGACATAAGGGTCATGTTTTTTTTTCCTTATGGGTAAGCAAAAACACGCACTCAAAAGTATTTAAAATAAAATAAACAAAGGTTGAAATTGAAATCAAACTGCTTAAACATGACATACAGCACATAATCCTTGTATTTGATTCACAAAATTGAAACCAGAGTCCACTGTCAAAGTTGAAGGGAGCAATTGGCATTTTAACAGAAAATAAAAGTCAACACTAGAACACCCAAAGAATATTTCTCCTCAACGTTTACACAAAGGCTTCAGTTTCACATACAAGAGCATACCAAAAGTTGTTTCCTTAACAATTAACAATTTACAAACCATTTGACTCAACCCAGTACCCAAAATACTTTAATGTGGGTAGAGTTCTATGCTTTTTCACACCAAACTGATCACATCAACTGTCAGAACAAAATAGAGACACTTGGGACTAAAGGGTGAGTAACCAAATCCAATTTTGGGCCACAAGAAAAGACCAAAGGAAATTCTGAAGGCTTAAAATTAGCGAAAACTCACCGTTTCCTTCAGATCCTCCCCATGTAAATCCTGGAGAATATCAAGGAACCGATCCAGAAGTAAAGCATCATACTCAACAAGTTTATCATCCTCACTCACTTTGGCTGGAACCAAAAGCCGAAGCTGAGCATCAATGGATGCCATCTTTTCCAAGTTCCTGTTCGCCATTGCAACCTTTCAACCCCTCCACCACCAGCTAACATCAAAACAAAACCAATCACCAAAATGGTCACACCAAAAAGATCGAAACAAACCAAAAGCCACATAAAAAAAATGAAAAACTTGAATATATAAGCAAGGGCAAATCAAAACAACTTTTTTTTTTCTATAATACATTTACAAAGAAAACTTGATGGTTGGAAAACACAAAAGTAGAGAGAGATCATGCTGTTTAATACTGCTACGGCAATATAAACATGTGCCTATGAAGAATTAAGGAGAAAAAATTGTAACTTTTTAATGACCCCATGATGAATCAATGATTAGGATCTAATGTAGTACCAGTGTTGAGGGCCAATTAGATAAGAGGAAGATGACGATGATAACAACCAACGAAAAACAAATGAGAGAGAGAGAGAGAGAGAGAGAGGGAGGAGAGAGAGAAGAAAGAGTCCCAGATCCAAAGTGGTGCAGAGGGTGTCATTATATAGCAAATCAGAAAAAATAAAAACCAGACATTTATGAATCTCTCTCTCTCTCTGGAAGACAAGTAGTAAAGTCATACACAAAACCTTTTGTGAGTCCTTGTTTCGGACAGTGAATCTGTTATTGCGTGTTTGTAACAGCTCCAAATTTCCATGAGATAGAGAATATGCCTTTTTTTTCAAAGATTCTTTATTGCAGGTTAGTTTGTATAGCTTTAATTTTTCACTGTTCCGTTCTCACCCTCAAACTTAAACAAGGTTTTAGACTGCATTGCATTGCCATGAAAATCTATCATATATATATTTTGGTTTAATGTAAATATATTATGAATATAAAGATTTTTTATACCATTAATCAAATAATAAAAAATCATTCTAAGACCACATGTTTGAACCATTTGAAATGCTTCTGTTCAAATCAACGTATGTTGATTTTGTATTAATTTTGCTTTTCTTAATATTTTATCTTTTTAGTTTTTGAAGATTTGAACATAAAGAATGTGAGATTTGCAAAATTATATTTTAAATTAAGTCAATCATATTATTTTATGAATTATTAGTCAATAATAATGAGATTTTTTTTAATTTTATGTAATATATTGAATAAAAATTAACGTATTCATAAGTTTTTAGTCGGGACTATATACATGTTTGGGTACCGGGGTACGTATATATCATTTAAATGAGTTGGTAAATGTTCAAATATGTATATTATGACTCTTAAATGTTTACTACCACTCTTTTTACTACTTTTGTATAAAATACTCTATTTTCACTCTTAAAATGTAATAAAAATATTTTACATAAACTTTTTAAACTGGAATGACAATAAATATAGTGTAATAGTGGACACTTACATGTTTACAGGTTACAGAAGCACCGTGCTCCCCCCTTCTCTTTCTGTACCATACAGAATCTTTCCTCTCTAAAACCACAGTGATTAATTAAACTGAAAAATAATGAATTATAAGTCTTTGTCAACATACGAGTTTAATTTAGAGGAGATAGAAACCGAAGGAAGATTTTTTAGAATTTATTTTTATTTGAGTTATTAAAAATAAAAGATAAAGATTAAAGAAATTTAAGAATTTTTTAAAATATCTTTTACATTTAATTTGCAAATTCTTTTAATTTAATTTTATGTAAACAAATTAATAATAAATAAGGAAAGGGTTTTTTTTTTTTTAAATTATCCTTCAAACTCTATTTTTTCTTCTTTAAACTTCCAATATTCTATTCCAACACGGTACTAGACATCTATTGTTCATTCGTTATGCTTTTTTTGGTGTCCACACGTTACAATATCTGAAAGTCACTTTTGAGTTAGGTAGATGTTGTGCTTAAATTTTATTTATAGATTTATAATAGGTCTTATAAGAAAAAAAATGTTGAATGTATAGTAGAAATTTAAATTGACATAGAAATTAATATCATGCAGCTTAAACTAAGTTAACTATAGAAGTTTAATATCATATTATTATTATTATTATTATTATTTCCTTCTCTGAACAAAATAGATGGTAAAGACAAGGAAACTCATTGTTTGTACTATTTGTTTTATTTTAATTTTTTAAAATCCTAACAATATATGATTATATATAGGAATAGGAACGCACTTCATCGAGAAAGAAAGGAAATAATAGGATGGTGAAAACGGCAAGTCAAATGAACAACACGTCTCTGGTGTTAGTTTTGTATATAATACAGCCATATCGATGGTGCACGATGACTCAACAAGCAATAGCCATAGAACCTGCTAATCATATATTGAAAAGTAGTTAAGGTAAACATCAAACTAAAAAAATATTAACAAAATTGACAGGGTTGACAAATAATTGCGTCTCCAAAATATGTTAAATAAAATTTAATTCTTATAATGTCTACTATAAATACTTTATTTTACGAAAGATAAACTTAACTTTAATAATGTATACGTCATAAAATGATTAGTATGTGGTTAAAGTTATGTTTCATAAAATGAACTCAAATCTCCCTTTAAGCTGTAGAATTGATTATAAATTTGTAACTGAAAGTTTATAATTATATAAGTAATTTGTAAAATTAAAATTGTCTAGTAAAATAGTTATGTAACTGATTTGTATTAAATGACTTGAACACATTATATTATATTAATATAATATTAAAATTAAATATTTCTTATTTATTTAATTACTACCAATCAATTAAATAATTATGTAAAAAATAAAAATTTTCTATGTTTGAATATGAAATATTTTAAGAAATTTTTTAAATATAAAATATATTTAATAGTTAGTTATTGAAAGTTAAACACTCCTTTAAATAATTTTAAAACTTTATAATTGTTTTTATTTTTTATATAACTAAACATTTCTACAAATTTATTAAATAAGTTAACAAACTATAAATTTTTAAATAAGTTATAAAATATTTATACTAAATATAGCCATAGTCTAAAATATATGTGTTTGAGATAAGGAAAATTTTCTAAGTTAAAAATCATCTTAAGGGAAACTACATTTCAACAAGTTTTGAAGGTTAAGAAGGAGAAAAAAATAAGCCTAAACATAAGAGAATATTGAAAGATCATCCAAGACCTTTAGTTTTATTAAAAGAGACATATTTCGAGCTATTTTAGGAAATTTTTGTCACATTATTGATTTTTCTCTAAACTGCTTGAAAGACAAGAAAATATTCTAAGTTCACAAAACTAAAGGCTTTTTCGAGTAGTTTTGAGAAGTTTCCAAGTCACTGACACCCAAAACTGCTCGAAAAGCAGGACTGACAAGAAAAAATTCTAAATCCACAAAACTAAGGGTTTTTTCAAGGAGTTTTGAGAAGTTTCCAAGTCACTAACACCTAAAACTGCTTGAAAAACAGGACTGACAAGAAAATATTCTAAGTCCACAAAAACTGATGGCTTTTCAAGGCGTTTTGAGGAGTTTCCAAGTTCTTAATACCAAAAACTGCTCGAAAAACAGGAAATAGTCAGAAAATATTCTAAGTCCACAAACTTGGTTGAGCTCCAAAGTCTCTCCAGAATTGCTCGAAAAACAGGAAGTAGTCAGAAAATATTCTAAGTCCACAAACATGGTTGAGCTCCAGTCCCTCCAGAAATGCTCGAGAAACAGAAATGAGCAAAAAAAATATTTTAAGTCTACAAGACCAAGATAAGCTCTCAAAACTCCAGAATTGCTCGAAAAGAGAAGTTAAGAAGAAATTATTCTAAGGCCATAACACTAAATAAGTCTCTTAGGTTTCTCCCAGAAATACTCGAAAGATAGAAAAACAAGAGTCTTGATAGGTCAAATCATTGCAAAATCTAATAGCAGTTACCAGCAGTTATCAACATTCACCACTACGCAAAGGAGATCGTGGGCGATAGCAGTTACGAAAGAAACCCCAACTAACAACACTATCACAAGCAATCGTGGATAATGAACATCAACAGTTGAAGGAAGTTACTAAGAAGTGCCCGCAAAAGGAGGAGAACGTTGGTGGTCTTCATGTCTATAAATACTCCAAAGCGCCATTTTACAAAGGACGACTTTTTGCACCCATACATCGCATCTAAACTCTTTGAGACGCTGAAACCCTGCACCGCGTCAGACACCAACTACAAGGAGACATTACAGTTGTTGCTGTTCATTGCTAGGAGTCGTATGTTTACATTCACACACCTTTACATTCCTGCACATTTACCTTCCTGCAATTTAATTCTAACTTGTTGCTTATTTCGTTTCTGCAATTTGTTTCTTATTTAGCACTTTTTCTGTAAAGAACCTCTACGTTTGATTCAATTCTGCACGTTTACTATTCTCTATTATTGCTTAATACTCTTTTTACGCCGTTAATTTGGGTGTCATGTTAACAATACACTTAAAAGAACCCAAAGAGGATCTAATCCAGTCCCCAAATTAATCTTTAGATTATTTGTTTACAAATTGTCATTTTTTCATCGTAAACAATATGTCTTCAATTCTCAAAACATTGGTGTGTTAGGATAAGATTACATATACATGAAATTATATATTAAATAAGAGGACCTGTTATATATAAGAATAAAAAAAATAAATATTAATTATTAACTTTTAGGATTAACGTTCAAAATTATAATACACAATATTAGAAAATACCATGCTGCATCCATACAGTAAATACTAAATAGTAAATTCTTTGTTTTTGATAAAGTGAGAGTAAAAAAAAATATTATTTTTAAAGAAATTTGATTTCTTATTTTATTCTCTCAATAAGTAATAATATGATTTTTATATATTTTTATTTATATTTTAAATTTAATTTTTCTAATTATTAGTGTATTTATTTATTTTCAATTTGAAGTATCTTGTCTATTTTAGTTTATTTTTAATTTTAAACATGACTTGAAAAGATTCATTAATTTTACAAAATACGAGTTAATTATTAATTAAATTGGGATAATTTGATTGAATTATTTAATTTTTTTTTTCAATATAACATCTTCAAGAATATTATCAAAATTTTTATGGTTTTTGAAAAATTATATACAGGCTAATTTTTTAAAATACTTTTAAGAAGTGAATTTAATTAGTTAAGTAGTTAAAGTGAGTTTGAAAAAAAAGCAATTTGTGTTTGAAAATTTTTATGTTAAATATAAATTTATGAACAAAAAATCATTATAATTTTTATATAAATATTTATAGAAATTTGTATAAGCTAGACTATTGTGATGGAAGCAGGATCTTCCCGCAGCATGGTGATGAGAGTAGGGCATGGCATCACCAAACATGGGATGCTGCCCAAAATCAACTATATATCCACCAATTCATATACTTTAAAAAGCATCACAACCACAAATTTAGATTCTTGTGTTCTGAGCTGTACCTCTGATAACTTAAATATCGACAATTTTTATGAAACTTATCTAACTTTGCATGAACAATAGTAAGATTTGTGTACATGTAATTCAATAATATCACTATACCTTGACCACAACCTTGGTATTCTTATGACCCCACAGTTTCCCATTTATGCAAAGCATATTGAAAACAATTGTACACTTGACATAATCCGGTACCTTTTCAGAAGGAAAATGATAATAGGAAGTAACCATATGCACAGATTGTTCAATATAATAAAATTAGAATTGGT